TTAGTTCAGTCTCTGTGAGCCCCTGTGAGCCCACGTTAGTCAGTTCTGTAGGTTTTCTTGTTGTGTCCTTGACATCACTGGGTCCTGCAATCCTTCCTCCCCCTCTTCTGCAGGACTCCTGGAGCTCAGCCTAATGTTTGGCTGTGGGTCTCTGCATCTGTTTCCATCAGTTGCTGAGTAACAGTGGGAGCAGGGGCTGTCTCTGACTCTGTTGCCTGCTCTTGGGACCCTTTCTACCGAATTGCTTCATCCAGCCTTAATAGAAGAGGAGATGCCTAGTCTCTCTGCAGCTTGATATTGCATGGCTGTCTGGTATCCATGGGAGGCCCACCTGTATCTGAAGAGAAACAGTGGAGGAAGAGTGGATGGGGTAGATTGGGGAAGTGGGGAAGGTGGGGGAAGAAACTGGGAAGAGGGGAGAGAGGGGAGACTTTGTGATGTTAAAACAAAAATAAACAAATAAGTAAATCATCATCAACAACAAAGCCAGAAAGTTGTAGCCCAGAAAATAAATGTGGTCAGCAAAGGTGAGCTCAGCCACAGCCCTGACCTTTCAGGAAATGTATAGACAATAGACAGTGGTTGTTCTGAGAGAAATGATGCAACTAAGATGTCTGAAGTGTATCACCTTAAAAAAACAAACAAACAAACAACAACAACAAAAAAAAAAACAGTGCTGGGGAAACTCGGTCATGTTCCCTAATTTTTCTTCTTGTCTTCCTTTGATCACAGAGGAAATTTTCTAAGCATTTCCTGCTGCAGAGTGAAGAATAGCTCACTGTCTAAGGCAAACCTGGGGTATTTCCCTAGTTTTGAAGGTTGAAACACTTCTATCCTTTCTATCTACCTAAATATTCACTGTTGTTCTTCCTTTTACTTAAAAAAAAGTTACAATTTGTGTTGATGTATGCACACTGTGTCCTATCCTGATATTGAAGTTTGATTGTTTGAGCCCCTCTCCCTTCAGCTTGTCTTAAAACTCTCAACTTTGTGCTCCAATGTTAAAACAGGTATACTGCTGTAGTCACAGGCACATCTAAGCCTTCCATGTGGTAATCAACATTGGACATGGCTGATGCTTGCTCTTCAGGTGGATGCTGTGGGATGTTCTCTATGCTATGAACATGTTGCTCTGATTGATTAATAAATAAAGTGCTGATTGGCCAGTAGCCAGGCAGGAAGTATAGGTGGGACAAAGAGAGAGAATTCTGGGAACAGGAAGGCTGAGGGAGAGAGATGCTGCCAGCCACTGTGATGAGAAGCATAATGTAAGATACCAGTAAGCCATGAGCCACATGGCAAGGTATAGGTGAATAGAAATGGGTTAATTTAAGATGTAAGAACAGATAGCAAGAAGCCTGCCACGGCCATAAAGTTTATAAATAATATAAGCGGCTGTGTGTTTATTTGAGTCTGAGTGGCTGCTGGCCCCAGGCAGGACTGGAGATAACTCCAGCTACAGGTGGAGGTTTAGCTCCCAAGCTGCACTTTCCTCAGAGCCTCTAGGTCTGAAATCTGCTTTTCAATTATTGCAATGAAAAGAGGTACTTGTTGTTAGATGTGGCCAAGAAGTTCTCTTCTCAGGTCTACTGGACCCTGTTGATGGCAGCATAAAAACTTTTCATGATTGATCAGATGTTAGAGTTTAAAGGAAGAGTGCCTTTATCTGAACAATAAAATATCCCAGTTATTAACATAAGCCCAGGGAGGCCTCATTATTATCACCAAGGCAAAATTAATTTCTCACTAGGAAAAATAAGAGATATTTAGTAATTGAGGGTGGGGGGCTGTTTAATCGTCAGCTTTTAGGCTAGCAAGAAACTCTCCAAGTTTCTGAGAACATACTATCTCACTGTTTGCCAAGCCCTTGTCACTATACTTATTATTTTAATTTGTTTTTCCCCTTGCATATCTACCCTCTTCCCAGCCAGCTCTATACTGACCTCATCAAGTGACCACACTATTTCTGAAGTGAGTGCTGACATTACACATAAAAATAATCTCTAGTTTAGTGGAAGAATGTCTGTTGTGTTCCTGGCAAACCCAAGACACACAGAGGTTTCAAGTGTACTGATCCTTGTACATCTGTTTCCTAGTGTAATTTCATCAGTCACAGATGAAGAATGCTAATTACTTTGTTTATACATGTGTGATTTAATGAGACTAAACACTCAGCCAACCTTCAATAAGTGCAACTTATTTGCCATTGCTGTTTTTAAGTTAATAAAAATCATGCCAAGCACATTTTCTGGAAATGGGAGCATTGTGCAATTCAAAGGAAGGGAGAATTCTAAGGGCAGTTGACAGCTTATATGTAATTTGTAGGCAGGCTGAGTAAGCAAGGAAGCATTAGGCTTTGGGATAAGGGTTCAAATCCAGTGTGGAAGAAAGATTAAGTATAATGGAAGGCTGTATTCTGCCAAAACTCCAAGGCCAACACTAAAATTCTGGTATGTATTAGAATGAATAACTTTCTGTAAGAAGCAGCAGTATATTTCTGCCAGATTTCAATGCATAACCTATTAATGATTACTTTCCTTTTGCTTTCAAGTACCCTTTTCTAGTTATTATGTTCACACTTTGAGAGAACTGAAAAAAAAATGTGGCATTGCTATTGCAGGTATTTCATTTGAAAAATAATATAGAAGAGTGTCATCATTATTATTTTAAAAATAAATGTATATTTTAAATTATCTTCTAATCTACTTACTTTCAAGTTAAGCAGAACTGGATTCTTGCTCTGGGATGTAGCTCAGGAGGAGAGTTCTTGTCCAGAACATGTGATCTGCTAGGTTCTTCCCTAGAATTGCAGACATCCACCACCCAAACTGATCCATATGCTGGGATGTGGCTCAAGGGTAGCATGCTTGCCCAGCAAGTGTGATGCCTGAATTATCCTTGCAAACATTCATACTCATATTGGATCTACTTCATTTAAAAAGAGGAGTGGGCAGAGAAGATGAAAAGGCAACACCGTCCTTACATTTGGATTCAAATGGTTCCATTGATTCACTCAGATGCTTAGAGTCAGCAAAGCAAAGCCTGTGGGCCAGATTCCTCCATTCACAGCCTGATTTGCAAATGCTTTATTAGAATACATTCATGCCCATTTGTTTATGGCCTATGACTCTCTTTGTGATGCAAAAGTAGAACTGAATATTTGCAACTGAAGCCGTATAGCCTACAAAGCTGAAAGGATCTCTAAGGCCCTTGATAGAAAAGACTTATTAATCATAGATTTCAGCCTTCAAAAAGAATAGAAGTTAATAAGCAAAGACAATAGATAATAATGGTTGTCTTATATTGTAAAGAAATAAAGACTGAGACAATATTAAACAAACAAACAAAAAAACTGGTGAAAGTCTTTCATGCTTAGTTCCTTCTGAATCTATATAGCTATTTCACTAAGAAACTACCAGCCAAGAAGCAAGGGCATTTAAATCATCACTGATTTTTAATGCAAGCCTGTCAAACCTATTCCCAAGATGAGCTAATCTTAGTTTATGAACTGGGCCCACTGGAGTGAATTTGTAGTAACAGAAAATATGCTAACTTGAGAGATAGGAGGACTTCGAGTGAAATGTTTCTAGCAATTCAAATAAGGGGAAATGACCTGAAGTTTTGAGTTCTTAGTCCTCTGGGAATGGTAATACCTGTATCTAGAAGGTGCCGTGATGATTAAAGGCACATTTAAATGCACACAGAACCTCCAGTGACGGATAGCTAGCAATAAGTGGGTTGGGCTTGTGTGAAGATGTGAAATGATGTCATCAACAAAGAAGCACAGGGAAACATGCTAAAGGAAACACCCAGAATCTCAGCGGACCCCTGGCATGGCTCCTTGGTTTACCTAAGAGTCACCTATACAGCTATAGACAGAGATCCCTGCAAATACCATGATGTATTCTTCGAACTTGTAGCTTTTGAGGGGGAGGAAGCTTTTTATGATAACATTTTAAAATTGTTTCACTATTTATAGTGAGAAACTTCTTTTAGTGATCATGTTCTTCTTTTTCTTTTTAATCCTAAGTCTCTAGAAGGATATGAGGGCTATCTGCTTACAGATAGTACTAGAAAATGCTGAGCTGTTAAGCACACAGCCTTTTTTCTTCAAAGAAAGAAACTGACACCTGTTTTCCTTCCAGAAGGCTGGGAATGGTTGTGTTACTACCTCGTAATCTTTTCTATTCTTAAAGCCAGCCCTCACTGAATGCTCTCAAATCCCCCCAATCATTCCCAGTCAAGAGAACCCATCCTCAGGCTTACTGCAAGCCCATTCTCCCTAGGTCCTTGTCCTAGGCACTATTTTTCAGTAGATAGAACCTATTGCTATAGAAAAGGTCTCGGGTGCTCAGCTAAAGAGATGAGCTTTGCAAAGGAGTCTTGGATGTAGTCATGCCTAAAGCTTTGTCGTGATAATTGTCATGTGGAAATTTCTCCCCAGAGTTTTGCTGTATTTATATATGTAAGAAATAAGTCACTTGGGGTCAGATTCCAGAAGTTTTGGCCCAACACCAGCTAACTAGAATCTAACTGAACCCAAGTTTCATTCTCACCTCACCCAGATAGTAGAAAAATACATATATTGAAGGATTTAAGAGAAACGTTGGCATGTACCATTCTGATGTTTAAGCAGGGCACACAATGAGATTATACTAGTTCTAGCATTAATGAAGCAAAGACCACGCTGTTTCATTCTTGTGAAATCAGACAGAAACAAATGGATTGAAAAGGTAGAAATCTGTAGTTGATGCTAAGAACATTTACAGAAAATGAGATTTTATTTTAAAGATATTTAATGCACTCTAGGCAAGTATTTTTTACTCTAGTATACTGAAGTGTGCATGTGTTAAAGTGCTTTCCCAATGTGCCAATCAGTCTTCATTGATACTCGGTTGGCAATTTCCCCTCTATGACCCTTTTCCTTTAGGCACCTAGCTTTCTGTTGCGTGTAAAGTCACCTCTCTCCTTGTTCTGTTCTGACTTCCTGCTGCCCATAGACACCCGGTCACCAGTGTCCTTGAGTTGGCAGGAGGAGCAGATATTCATCAGTCTATATCAACACCAACTAGTGAGCAGGAAACCTCACCAGAGCCCAAGGAACACCATGTTCTGCAGGAAGTTCAAGGATCTCAAGATCACAGGGGAGTGCCCTTTCTCCTTACTGGCCCCTGGTCAGGTTCCAAAAGAGCCGACAGAGGAGGTAGCAGGAGGCTCTGAGGGCTGCCAGGCCACTCTGCCCATCTGCCAGGACATTCCTGAGAAGAATGCACAAGGGAATCTTCCCCAAAGAAAGACAAGCCGCAACAGAGTCTACCTACACACTCTGGCAGAAAGTATTTGCAAGCTCATCTTCCCAGAGGTAAGTGCTCTCCGTTTAACAATGATAATGGTATTTCATGATTGGGAAAGAAAAGGTTTTCAAAAGAAAATATTTAGAAATGGGTTTCTCACTTTTAAGGGCATGGTAAACAGAATTTCCTTGAAGCGCATGAAAACTGCCTTTTTTAAATAACCATATTCTGAATTGTGAGTCATCTTCAAAAGTCTCGTATCTTGAATTCCTTTCAAAAAATCACTAGACTGTGACAACTCTGTGTGTTTGCTTCATCCCTCAAACTCAGCTTCCTTTATCTGTAAAATGGAGATGTATCGCACCTTCCTCTGAGTGTTACTGTACACTGAATGAAATCATCTTCCACTCTTGCCCCAGAAATTCTAGAGAAGCAGGATGGCATGATCCAAATCAAACACCTTTCAGTGGGAGAACAATGCTGCTTTAACAACAACATAGGCTGAGGTGAGGTGATGTTGGTGCCCGAGGAACAGGAGACCAGAAGTGGATCTCCAAGGAAAGTAGAATAGAGGTAGCAGAAAGTTGAAGATATTTATTACAAAGATGGTATTGATTGCACGTTACACTTAATGACTGTTGAAATGCAAATATTTAATTATTTTTTCCCAGTCCTAGTCATTAGATACCCAGTTTTGTTGAGACTGGGAAACATAGCCCTTCCCATAGAGGTGACTTACACTGCAGTCTGGGAGGTTTTACCCAAGGACAGAGTAAGATATAGGGTGGCAAATGGATGGTGCTCAATATTTTCTTTAATGATCTCTGTTGATATCTCGTTGTGCTCATGGATAATTTTCAACATTCTCTTACAGCAAATTAGACTTCCTCAAGATTATTGTTCTGAATTCCTAGTCATTTCCCTAGGGTTGATGACTAGAGAGTTACTTCTTCTGCCCTCTGTCACGTTCGTTCTCCTGATTCCTTGTATCACTTTGCTTTGCTTTCTGTGTATTGGAGAAGCAGCTGGATTGCCGACCTCTGTTAACTGACGTTGAGATTGGAAATACCTTGAGCGATTGGTTAGCCAGAAGTTCTGGGAGTCTCTGGGATCTTTTCTCTGCCATGTGCTTTCTTTTTCTCTCCTCATCTCCTGGGAAAGAAGCTACGTGTGTGCCTTCTCACAATCTGGAAGAAGCAGGCAGACTACTGCAAGCTATAGGACTTCATGTAGGGAGGAATACCCTTGACACTATTTATTGGCTTCTTCCAGGGTTAAGATCATTTGCTTCATGGCAGTAAATGTCCTAATGTTGAATATGTTTGACATGGGTATTAACCAATCTATTCTACTTTATCAACTGCCCAAATATCTGCTTGGTCTTTTTATAGAGACATCTGCTTTTCATGAGTTATTTTTTGAGTTGGCACATTTAATGTTTGCATTTTAGTTTTAGTTACTTTAATAACCTTATGAAAGAGATTTAAAATTCAATTTGGCATAGTAGTTCTTATTTTAGATGATCAGATTTAACTCTCCAATTATATTTTCGTGGGGGATGGTAGGAATGAAAACCCATTAGCCTGAGCAAATTATTAACAGGAACTCTCATTTCAAAAAAGTGAAATGGTTGTTTTTAAAGGAGCTTCCTTGATCACATAATGAAAAATTACTATTTCCACTTGAAAAGCAACAACTAAGGCATATAGAGTTAGATCATTTGTTCAAAGTGAAAGAGATAGCTGGTGATGGAGAACTCCACATCTCATTAATAATTAAGAGCATTGTATTTTATCTTTATTAATTAAAATATTACTGATTTAGAAAAGCATTGAACTCTGAAGAAGCTTCTAGGGAGACAGCTGAGTGGGCAAAGAGCTGTGTATGCAAGCATGAGAGCCTGAGTTCAGTACCTCGAATTCTTGTACAAAGCTGGGCATGGTAATATACACTTGTAATCTCAGCATTAGGGACAGGGAGTTGGTGCCTCCTTGGGGCTTGCTTGCAAGCCAGACAAGCTTAATTGGTAAAGGCAGTGAGGCATCTTGTTTTAATGTGAAAACAAAAAAAAAACCCAAGGAACAATATCCATGTTTGATCACTGGAGTCCATCAGTACACACAGGTAGGACATGTATACAGATGAACACCTCTCCACATACACACACACACACACACACACACACACACACACACACACACACCACCTAAGTGTCTAGACTGAGAAATCAAAAGAAGCACAGCATGAAGAAAGACACTCCGTGCACCAGATCTTGCCGGGAAACACTTTGTCTGGAAAAGCCTATGTATTTTATTTGAACCTACACATTCTCATAACAACAATGAATGCTGCCTGATTTTTCCTAGGGACATGTAAAACAAGTCCTATTTACCCCAGATAGGGAAGCGTGACAGTAAATCAATGTGAGTATTCCATCCAAGTACAGCTCTGTGAACTGATAAGCTTATTAAAGCTACTTACAAGACTATACATAGTCCAAAAACAGCTACATCATCCAAAAGCCTAAACACCAAGTGAGTGATGACTTCACAAAGCTGAAATAGTCTCCTCTTTAGTTAATCTTCTACCTCTTGTAGACTCCTTGCATCCCCCAGGATCAAGCACATTTGTGGGGCAGCAGAAAATAGTGATTGGAATCCTATGGGAGGGACTCACTATCCCTCCCCCAATTTCTTCTGTTAGGGAGTGTTAACAATTTCTATACCATAACAATAGAGTTGGTTATCACTGCATTGTTTTAGTCCATTGCTATAAAACTATGGGGCTAAGGCCATTTTGTAGGTCACCACATCAACCTCTCCTGAGTGGTGGCTGGTGGTCATGACAAGCTCTGGTCTTGTCTGGCATAGAAGAAACCACTAGGTACAACACCATTATAAGACAAAGTTAGAGTCCTGCCTGCAGAAGTTCACTACAACAATTTATTCATGCTTTCACGAGTAGAATTCAATACTTTCTTTTTTAAAAAAGTAAGTCTGATTAACAAAGTCAGAAAAACAAAGAAGGAGCTCAGAAAATGGCAAAATAGTGCACCTGAGGGTCTATTTGTAATTGAAAAGCAAGAGAAAGATGTCTCTCATCGCATCACACATGAAAAACAACAAATTCCCCATTGACAGGACTGGGTAGATTTTCTTTCTTCATAACCCATCAACAGTTTCTGACCAGAAGCTGATAGGGATGAGCAAATGGACTTCTCTTGCCTTTCTGGGCTTCTACTCCATTAGGTGAGATAGATAATAAGAGAAAAACTTGAGTAGCAACACTGGAAGAAAACCAAGACCTCATACACAGAGGAGAGGCAGCCCCCGTTGCCCCCATGACCCATTCCTCACATGAATAAACTTCTCTCAGAAGGGAGAACTCTCAGAAGTCTGTGGTTGCTTGGGTTTGTATTACACTAGCATCTATAGCTAGAGATGTAGAGTAACTCCTGAGTGGAAGGCTCTTGAGAAAATGAGTTTCCCAGACACGTGCCTGGGATGATCCCTTACACTCTACGCACTCACAAGCTGATGGGCCTTGCTCTTTCCTTGATGTGAAAGACTACTATGAGATATGTCGACTTATTCCCCTCTGAACCTGTCATTTATCTATTATTTTTCAGCTCTTTGCTGTCACAAAGTCAACAGGACATGCTCAGATTCTACCTTTTAATCACATCTACCTGTTTTTCCTCATCCTGTCCCAGATGTGTCCCTTTCTCCATTCCTTTACCATCAAAAAATTTACTCTTCACTATAAATTTATATTTTCTTGGAATTTCTTTTGAGTGATTACATTTTCTTTGAATAAATTTTTTTGTGTATTTTCTAAGCTTGATCTACATATTTAAAACTCAAAGTCCTTTTTGAAAATGATCTTGCTACTTTTTTTTTAACAACATTGCCTTCTGTGACTAGTGGAAACTCTATGAGAGATATAAATAGATTAAGGCAAAAGGAATTTCCCAACTTGGATCATATCCAGAAAGTTCTTGACTTTCCTGTGTGTAAACTGGAAACAAGAATCAATGATCAGGTCTTCATGCATAGACATGTATAATTTTCATACAGGTTGCAAAACTGAACACTTCTCATCAATGTTCCCATTTTTGTTTATCAAGTAGAAAAAAAGATACATTAAAAGAGATATGGGGGGAGCATTGCTTATGTATGTCTCACAAAAAAGGGAAAACTTATAAACTCTCAGATATCAATAAAAGAGGGTAAAAGTACTAATATTTGATAAGGATTATTAGTTCAAAACTTGGAAATCAGTATAGTTAAGATAGGTCCATGACTCTTGAAATAAACAAGAGTGTTCTGGTGGCAGATTAATTTGAGTGGCTGAAAAGGAAGCAGAGATAACTTTAGGTTTTTTGAGTAGAATTCTGAAAAGTGAGTAGAGTATGTAGGAAAGAGCACTATAGTCCTTGGTGAGCTATGGAGGGGATATCGTTTAGGAAGGGAACAGCATGTGTCTGACTTGAGCTCTGCAGTTGAAATATTGGTAGTGTATCCAGGGAGACTTCTTGGCCCAGAGGAAGAGATGATATGGATTTGTGCATTGCAGAAGACCTGATATTACAAACTGACATTTTCTGTTTGGGATCAGCTCAGGGACCCCCATGCAACCAAACACAAAATAGTCTGAGCTTACTGATTCTTCCCAAGATTGAAAAATATGTGGGAAAGAAGTATCCTTTCCCATGATGCAAATGCACCGCACTTGCCATCAAGTGAAAGTTTCCATTCCCTTACAAGAAACCTTAAAGAATTGCTACATTTTTTTTATTCCCAGTTTGAGCGACTGAACCTTGCACTTCAGAGAACACTGGCAAAGCATAAGATTAAAGAAAGCAGGTAAGCGATACCACTTTAGTTGTATGAAGCCCCATCACAAAGATATTGTTAAAAATGATCAATTCTTACTGAATATTTTGACTCATACTGGATTTTTATTATATACCAAAAACTGAATTAAGCATGCTAGCAATTACAAATTTGGAAATAAATTTATTTACTTTCAAAGGCTCATGAGAGATGGAAGTTTGGCCTTCGTGTTTTTTAAAGAATCTGGTTTGTATCCTTTGTTTTGTTTGTTTATTGTTGTTTAACTAAACCTGGTCACATGTGCTTCTGGTGGATAAACTGATTATCCCTGTTCTCAGTATTTAACTTGTGAATAGTAAATACTGAGTGCAAACTTGCAGAGCAGAAGATTGGAGTTTTGCAAGCCAACACCACGGTGGACACAATCTACAAACTTCCAAACACCTTCATGTGCTTCTCCTCCCCATAGGCACGCAGTCTGCTCTATGGAGTATCTGGGCTGGAATTTCCTGCTGAATAGCTTCAGTCAGACTTGACCCAGGCAACTTGACTGAGCCAAGCAAGAGTCCTGAACTGCCCAGGAGAGTGTGAATCTGTGTCTGACAGAAGCTTTGTTTATAGGACAGACCTGACAAGCATCCCAGAGGCGCCTCTGCCTCTATCCACAATTCCCAGACAGGCTGATAAGATAGCCGCAAGTCAATCTTGTTGAGCTATGGGCGCTGTCTGTACACGTCCTTGGCAGCCAGCTTGCTTGAGATTTATTCTCAGGCCTTTGTGCTCTGAAATGACCCTCCTGCTGGATGGAGATCTGTTCTCTGTGATGCCCCCTGTACAAGAGTCCTCAAAAGTGAAGCCCACAGCATTTGGAAATCTTTTCTTGAGGAAAAGAGAATGCCTGAGGTTCTTCCATGATGATGACCCAACAGGTGTCGTAGGATTTTCCCTCCTGCCTGCTGGAGTGTGGAGGGGCGCTGGCTCCTTCCACTTTCTTTAATTTGTGGGCATCCTCTGTGCGCTTCTGTCTGTCACTTGATTGTGGGTGCCTCACATTACTGTTTATGTTATCCTTGGTCTGCCAGCAGATGAACACATCTCAACCTTGTTTCATGCAGCATATTTCTGGGACTTACAAATCAGCAAAACACAAATAACCTATTAAGCAGTGCAGTTTCCTTGGATGAAGGGACAGAGCCCAGTTCTTACTAAAACAGTCACTGCGACCTCTCAGGGAACTGTTGCAGCCCCCTTCCTGTTCTCTTGCTAAGTGCAGGACAAACTCAGGGCTAGTGTGTGTGTGGGTGGGGGAGGGTGTATAATGAATGGGTTTACTGGCCACTCACAAGTCTTTCTGTCTGCTGTGTTTGGAAAGCAAGGGATATTTAGTTTACTGATCACTGTAAGCTGTTTGGAATGACAATGCAATGCTCTGCTCTTATCTAAGAGCAAGAGTGTCAGGAAATGCCAATGGCAGTATTAGACCAAGGAGACACACTCTTATTTTTAGGGAAAAAATTCTGCTTAAGTGAAAAAAAAAAAAAAGGAGGAAAGTAAGTATTTGATATGGTAGTGGATTAGCTAACAAAAGTTTTCTGGGTCTCCACATCTAAATTCAGTATAACAGTATAATGTTATATTATGATCTTTAGTTCTTTAGATAAAATATTTCCACCTAGTACTTTACACACTTACAATCATCATATTTCTATGGAACAAGGTGGTGCTCTGGGCAATTTTCCTTCTTGCAAATATTTCTCTCTAAAACTTCTTATATTATACCTTGTTTTATTAAAAGGCTGTTTAACATGGAGAAGTATGCCTGCATTTAAACTTGGCTCGGCTAATGGCAAGTTGAACCTTGCAATTAAATAGTTTTTTTGATACTCTTAAAGTACTTGGATAGTTAGGCAAATTGGGCATAATCAGTTACTGTTTTGGAAGTTTTCAAAAAGCAACTAGGCAAATGTATCTCACAAAGTTGTCCAGTTGATATATGAAGATGATGACATTTTATATTGCTGAACATCAGTGATCATGAAGAAAATGTTGTTCTTAAGCACAGAAAAGTAAAAAATGTGAACGATTAGTTAGGAACTATAGAAAAAAGCAGAAGATGCTGATTTAAACCTGTGACTCCAATAAATAAATAAATAAATAAATAAATAAATAAATAAATAAATAAATAAATAAATCCAACAACCCAAACAAACAGAGAGAAAAAGAACCTAAAACCCAAAGGAGAATCATATGTTTAAAGCTAATCATCTGGTAAATAAGATTTTAAAAATGCCATTTAAAAAGTTTTTTCTACAGTTAAAAGGTTTGCCCAGTTGAAATTATTTCAACCTCCTGTTGATGCCCATATGTGCTCTCATTGTTTTAAGCTTCCTTTTTCTAGAATGCAATGATGGATGAAAAAAATATAGATTTGTAACTAGTTTGTATATAAGACCAGGTATAAACCTGGAGGAATAATGTCTGAGATAATTATAAAGATTCCTAATCTCAGCAGCAAGGATTCCTAAATTTCATGTTTTAGCTTCAGAAAAAGACAATACAGCACAACAGTGCATTCTACCATTGCAGTGCAAATCTACCATTGCAGGTAGATTTTTATCTCAGTTGGATGACCAAACCCTTGAGGATTTATTAGAATCTTTTTCTTTATTTATTTTGGTGCTAGAGCTGGAACCCAGGCCCTCCATATACAAGTCAGTTCCTCTGCCATTTAAGCTTGGCTTGCCATCCTCTTCATGACCTTTACCCACTCCTGGTTACCATGCCAGGGTACATTCTCTTTCTCAATGCCCTACATAAAATGAACCACAGAGACAAATATGCTTGGTGAGGGATTATGAGACACTCCATGCTATGTATACTTTGGGGTTTTCCCACCAGGGTTTTGAGTTGTTCAGATTACTGCTTGTTTTGTATACAACAACTCAAGATTTGCTTCTGGAAAATAATTATCTCATGCTTCTATCTGTCTATTGGATATAATCTGAATTACCGGCATTCATTTATCAGTTTATAATTTAAGATACTTAATTATTTCCAGGAAATCTTCAGAAAAAGAAGACCTTGAAAAAATAATTGCAGAACAAGCAATTGCAGCAGGTAAATAAAATTGTTTAAGTATATGAAATTAGGAAGCATATCACATCCCTGAATAACTAATATTTCTCTCAACATATTTATATTTTTGCAGGTTTTTAAAATTTTATTTGTTTTTATTTTGTGTGCATTGGTGTTTTGCCATGGGTGTCAGATCTCCTGGAACTGGCATTATACACAGTTGTGAGTTGCCACATGGGTGCTGGGAATTGAACCCCTGGTCCTCTGGAAGAGCAGTCAGTGCTCTTAACTACTGAGCTATCTCTCCAGTCCCTTGTACTTATTTCTTATTGACTCCCAGTATAAAGTCTTTGAACTCTGTGTGTGATAATGCAGAGTAACCCTTCCTATACTACATATTTTTGTGTGACCTCAAACATTTCCTCTTTTTTTATTGTTTATTTGCCGAGAAGTAGATAAGCCTGTGTGGGAAGCTGATTCACAGGCATTCACATTTACAGGCTTTGGTCTTAAACCAAACTATGTCTTCCTCGTTTGTATATGAAAAACTGCTCAACAGTAAAGAGTATTTTAAAAGGTTGGAAGTAATCTTGGGAAAATGGTCTGGCAGAGTTCTCACATTAATAATCAGCTTCAGGAAAAAGATAGATGAGTGACTGCTGGTGGGCCCTTTCCGAGTATGGTGTGAAAACTGAGAGGATGCAGGCTTGTAAAAGTACTGCTTCTATGAAATATAACGTTAACTATAGCTACTTTATACTGAGCCATTCTTGGAAGATAGACGCTGTTCTAAACATAGTTCCCACAGGTCACACTGTTCCTCAAAGAGAGTAGCATTGTTTCCAACTTTACAAAAGAAAAACGTATGAAACTTCTCTGCAACTGATGGAGACCATTGCAGAAAACCATCACCAGTCAAAACATAGAGTTGTGGAGTCCACTCACAGTGGACACATCTGCAAACAAACCATAACTATCCCTAGCACTAAGGTGTTTTTCTAGCATTAAAAACCCTGCATCCTACCCTCAGCACTGCACAAACTGGGTAGAGAGGTGAATCCTGTAATCCCAACACTTAGGAGGACCAGAAACCCTAGTTTATCCTCTGATACCTAGGGAGTTAGAGGCCATTTTGGAGAAGAGGGGGCAGAAAGATGGAAAATCAAAGGACCAGGGAGTTTGCGGCGAGATTGTGTCTCCTAGTAATATAAAGTTTTGTTATGCCCAGAGCTCGGGGACCCCCCCCCCCCCCCCCAAAAAAAAAAAAAAAACACCGTGGAGACCAAATCCCACATATAAAAGCAAAGAGCCTTTATTTCAAGCTCCAGAGCTTGGTCTCTCTGTCTGTCCAACACAGTGGTGAGAGCAGAGAGCCCAGAGCTCAGGTGGGGTGGGTTTTTTATCATAGCAGAGGTTGGCGTGAGGGAATTTCCAGAGTTCAGGACCCTGATTGGCTGACAATTGTCTAGGGGTATCTGTAAAACAAAAAATAGGTGTGTGCTAGACTCAAGGACATCTGACCACCTTATCTAATGGTTGGAATGTTTGTGATGCTGGGTACTTCCTCATCCCTGAGTGGATCCCTGGGTGGTATCAGCTTAAGACTTTTCCTGGATCTGGGTATTGCCTGCCAGTAAGCCTGTCACAGAAGCTGGGTCTAGGCCCCTAAGCCTATCATGGCTGCTGTGTGGTCAAGCTGTTTTGGGGCCCTCCACAGTCTCACCAACATGACTTCCAAAACATGAGCTGAATAAGGACATCACCATTGGGCCTGCCAAACTGGATGGAGAAAAGTCCATAAGGCCTCAACCTTCCACAAGAACTACATGCAAAGGAGGAATCCTCCGTGTAGGAGAAGTAGTCTCCCTGGGAGAAGAGCACACCAATTCATTATCCAATACCAAATGCTCAGCCCTGGAAACATGTATTTGAATAACATTATACAGACTGAGCAGTTGAATTTAGAAATATATATGTATATACAGATGCATTTGTGTGTGTAACAACAAATGTAACCAAGAGGTCATGAATTTGAAAGAGCAAGGTAGGGTATATGGGAGGATCTAGAGGGAAGGGAAGGAAGGAGAAAATTATGTAATTATATTATAATCTCAAAAATAAAAGAAATAATATAAAATGTAGTGCCCAGTGTATGGAGGCAAGAAGGAAGGAAGCCTGAGAAGAAGATGCTAAAGGTGAATAATACGATTCATACAAATATTCACTTAGGGAACATCACATAACAAACCATCTTGAAATCACTTCCAGACATAACAGTTTCATGTTTTAAATTCATTCTAGGTGTGACTCTTGCACTATTCAATCCTCTCTGGAACTTCAAGACCCATGCTGTGTGGTTAAGAGAAAGACAGATAGGCTTTGCCTGAAATGGAGTTTACCCTGAAGCTACAGCTCTAGTTGTTTTATAGTTAAGAAAGATAAAAATAGTGCATTCTACTCACTTAGTCATTCTTGGTTTAAAATAAACAGTTTGAAGATTGTTAATCAGAGTCACCAGAATTCTAAAAGTTTAGCTATGTTGATAAGTTGAGTGTGAGCCTTTGATTTGAGTTGGAACTCCTAAGATAGTAAAGGAAGTTAACCACAAATCAAGGGGTTGCATTTGGTAGCAGCAGTCACTCGCTCTGAGTTCTGAGTTGACACACGTGCTAGTCTACCGTGTTGTGTGCTTGCAGGAGTCCCGGTGGAGGCGCTCAAAGATTCTCTAGGTGAGGAGCTGTTCAAGATCTGTTATGAGGAAGATGAGCACATCCTGGGCGTGGTTGGCGGCACACTGAAGGACTTCCTGAACAGCTTCAGCACGCTCCTGAAGCAGAGCAGCCACTGCCAAGAGGCAGAGAAGAGGGGGCGACTGGAAGATGCCTCCATCTTATGCCTGGACAAGGACCCTGACTTCCTAAATGTTTACTACTTCTTTCCCAAGAGAACCACAGCCCTGCTTCTCCCCGGCATCATTAAAGCGGCTGCTTGGATATTGTACGAAAGCCATGTGGAGGTGTCTCTGATGCCTCCCTGCTTCAGAAGTGACTGCACCGAATTTGTGAATCAGCCCTATCTGCTCTACTCTGTCCAAGTGAAGAGCACCAAGCCTTCGCTGTCCCCAGGAAAGCCCCAGTCCTCGCTTGTCATCCCCGTTTCACTCTTCTGCAAGACCTTCCCGTTCCACTTCATGCTGGACCGGGACCTGGCCATCCTGCAGCTGGGCAATGGCATCAGAAGGCTGGTGAACAAGAGGGACTTCCAAGGGAAGCCCAACTTTGAAGAGTTCTTTGAAATTCTGACTCCCAAAATCAACCAGACATTTAGTGGCATCATGACAATGTTGAATATGCAGTTTGTCATACGAGTGAGGAGATGGGATAACTCTGTGAAGAAATCATCAAGGGTAAGAAAAATAGGATATTCTATTAAAAATGAAACCAGTTGTTTAATATTTAAGGGAAACAAATCACAAAACAAAGGAGCACATGCCATTTGGGTAACAAATCTGTCTGAAATTCTAAAGTAATTTTAGCAAATAAATGTCTTCCTATGTTCATTTTCTTGTCTACTTCATTGACTACAACTATTTATTGACTCTAGTTTGCCTCTTTAAATCCGAATGGTGGTGTGAATGTGTACTTCACATCCACAGAGTGCTTGTCTGACCTGTAGGAAGGCCTAGGGTTTGATTACCAGCATTTGATTAAACTGGACTGGTTTGTGCCACACATTTCTAATTCCATCATTCAGGAGGTAGTGGCAGGGGAATCAGAAATTCGTGGTTATCTTTGATTATATATCCAGTTCAAGGCCAGCTCACGGTAATTGACACCTTTTCTCAAAACAAGGTTTGGGGCAAGATGGCTCAGTGGGTAAGGTGCTTGCCACCAAGTCTGAATGTGAGTTCTGGAACTATGGGATGGTAGGAAAGCACAACTCCTACAAGTAGTTCCTAGACCTCTACATGTGCTGTGACATGTGTATACACACACACACACACACACACACACACACACACACACACACACAAAAGTAAAGGCATTTAAAGATAAGTTAACAAATACAAAATCACAATAGAGAACTTTATAAGCAAGTTAGAAGTGTTCACATGAAAATTTGCTTTTGAGCCCGGCAGTGGTGGCGCACGCCTTTAATCCCAGCACTCGGGAGGCAGAGGCAGGTGGATCTCTGTGAGTTTGAGGCCAGCCTGGTCTCCAAAGCGATTTCCAGGAAAGGCGCAAAGCTACACAGAGAAACCCTGTCTTGAAAAACCAAAACCAAAACCAAAAAAAAAAAAAATTTGCTTTTGATTATTATCAAATTGTTCACTTGGTTTTAGTAATAAAAATATTGTTTCATAAGAACAAAGCTGCTTGCTGCAAGAAGCAAGTAAATGAATTTTAATCAATATATAAATATGTGGATGAATAAATAGCTTGATTAATTGCCACTGAATGTGTGTGGAAAGGAGGGCACACTCTCATGGCAAAGAACATTGATAATCATTTAATCTCAGAAACAAATGTCTACTAACTGCCTGGAGAGACTATATACATGGATAAAGAGTGGTCTTGGGAACATAACCCACCCCCACAAAGCACTGACTGTTCCTTAAAGTGAAAATGGCTGTATTGCTATTTTTATATATAATATATAATTATATATAATATTATATATAATATATAATATATATATTATAATGATGAAAATGATGGCCACTATGTCAAAATACAGGAGAAGTGATATATTAGTACTTGTTTATAACAACAACAACAAATCCCTACAACTACTTTTGTCACTGAAGGACAGAATTTGGTCATCCAACCCTGTTGTTGGGCACTGGTCTATATCTATGTTTTGGAAGCTGTGGATCATTGTATTGCATGGTTATGCTTGATTTTATTTGTCCAGTCTCTCATTGATGAGCCCTTGTGTTTCTTAGACTCTGATATAGTATAAATATACATGTGTACTTGTCTATGTGCATACAAGTGAATTATGTGGCCCCAGGAGAATCCTTTGAAGCCCTACCTCTTGCAAGGCCTTCTGGATACATTTGTGGCTATAGATTGGATTGTACTTTTATGTTTTGGAGAATAGCCTTTGTTAAGAGCTGAAGGCAAAATTGAAACAGAGACATGGCTTCTCTTGTAAGACTCAGATATCTTAGGCTGAAATCCCTGGAGAAATAATCACTTCCAAAAAATGTTTCTTTATCTCGAGATAGAAACGAAAGAAATGTTCAGATACATATTTAGAGACATTTTAGCTTCAATTCCTGCCAGATGGAACAAGTAACTCATGGCAGAAGAGAAGAGAAGCTTGCTAAAATAGAAGACAAAAAAGAAAGAAAGAAAAAAAGGAATAAACCATAGTGAGAAAAGAGAGAAAAATAATGAGGGGAAAGGGCAGGATGAACAGAAATCAGGTTTTAATAGACATCACATTATGGGAGAACTGTAACTCCAGATTAACGGCATAAGAATATCAGAAGAATCCAGCAACAACAGCACCAGCATGTTGTTTCATAGGGTCTCAGAGAAAGGGGATTTTCTCTTGCTCACAGCAGCTCAAAATTTCTGTGTAGTATATTCTGGATATATTCTTTAAATTTCTGCATGAATTTTAGAACTGGCAGAAAACTGGAAGAGATTAACAATCATATTATTCTTCTATATCAGATTGGAAGCAAAACAGATTATGTCGGTATCCACTCCCTCTCTTGTTTTGGAAAGATTTGGGGAACTTGACTAATGTACTGTAATTTGTTCTTTGCTTTACAGGTTATGGATCTCAAAGGCCAAATGATCTACATTGTTGAATCCAGTGCCATCTTGTTCTTGGGATCACCCTGTGTGGACAGATTGGAAGATTTCACAGGGCGAGGGCTCTATCTGTCTGACATCCCAATTCATAATGCCCTGAGAGATGTTGTCTTGATAGGGGAACAGGCACGGGCTCAAGATGGCCTTAAGAAGAGGTTGGGGAAGCTGAAGGCCACCCTGGAGCATGCCCACCAAGCTCTGGAGGAGGAGAAGAAGAAGACAGTGGATCTTCTATGCTCTATCTTTCCCTGTGAGGTTGCTCAGCAGCTGTGGCAAGGACAAATTGTGCAAGCCAAGAAGTTCAGTAACGTCACCATGCTCTTCTCAGATATTGTAGGGTTCACTGCCATCTGCTCTCAGTGTTCACCCCTGCAGGTCATCACCATGCTCAACGCTCTCTATACTCGCTTTGACCAGCAGTGTGGAGAACTGGATGTCTACAAGGTAGGGGAGGTGGAACAAAGATGGGTTAGCAGGCAGAAGTCACCTTGGGAAGGCATAGTGTTGAGCACCTGAGTGAACTGCAATGCTGATGAATAGCTCTCTGCATTTGGGTCATGCAGGCTATATCTGGGGGTCAGGTATTGTGTGTTAATTATGTGAGTGTTCTCCAGCCAGAAATAACTCAATAAGAACCAATTGTTTCCGGAGATGTCTGCCACATTGTCTTCTAAAAATGAGCATAGAGTAGAAAGAGATTAGGCTGAATGGATGATTCTCCTGGTGAAAAACTAGGCATTAGCCATCCAGGGACCAGCCACTTAACTGTGGAAACTGAGTTAAACAAGACATAATTAAAGGTATGACTCAGAAAAGGGAAACTTTATCCTTTGTATCTTTAAAAATAAAGAAACAAAAGGTTTATACAAATTGTCCTAAAATAGATTAACTCAATGCACAGTTTGCTTGATACTTTTCATAGTCAATTTGCAGCAAATCAAAGTCACTTAAGACATTTAGTGCATCTTCATTAAAGGTAGATATACTCAGATTAAAAAGCCCTGCTTTCAGATCCCGTCCTCTCCTTTTCTTGCTTTGTGAACAGAGCAAGTCATTTCCCAATTGTAAAAGAGCAAAAGCAATAGCCCTCCCCAGCACTTACATACAAAAGAGCAAAAGCGATAGCCCTCCCCAGCACTTACATCCATGGATAATGTACTACATCCCATAACCTTTCTTGCTTTGTGAACAGGACCATCATGAAGATTTTGTAGATGTTATGTGTTTTGGTTCAGGATCCAGGATTCTTTAAGAAGTGTTGGTAATCACTTAGGTGTCTTTCTAGGTACTGCAAATACAATAACACTATTATGTCCTGGATGCCAAATGCATCATTTCTTGAAAATGAATATTATGAAAGTGGAGAGAAATGAAATTTCAAGTTCTGCCTATTTTGTTTGATGAAAAGTTTTTGCTGGTTTAAATTCTTTTGCCTCATTTTACACCGTGGCAGTAAGAATAAAACATTCATCTGCGTCTGACTCAAATCATCTGGTTAGTTTGTCCTAGCAGTTGGTAATTTCAGAGTTCAGCCCAACCAACACAAAAGAAATAAACCACTGGGAAGAAGCAAATTTTTTTATTGGAATCCATAGGCCCAGCCTTGTTTCTGAGGAGATACTAGCAGCGTCTTGTGAAATTCTTGACAGGAAATCTGCGAGGGAGTTGTGATTTTCTTGAGGGTGGGAGAGAGTAGGGAAGAGGACCTAGTATAATTACAGATAAAATAATTGGCACTGGTTCAGTTACATTTGATGGCCTCTTGTGGAATTCACTGTTGATTTCTAGTTATGTTCTCCATGGAGAATAGCTCCTTCCTCAGAACTGAGAAAAGCAAATCTTTTTTTCCATCACACAGACAGCTGTGAGTGCCGCAGAGGTACTTGTCACCCCCTGCTTTTAGTTGTGATGACTCTGTCAAGGATTCCTGAGCTATATCTCCTCCAAGAAGGAGGGTGTCCACAGAGTTCTTTGACTAACTGGCTTCAGATGGAAGCAGACAGCATACCACCGATCATCACTCCCCCAACTCTCCTTTCCACCTTTCCCTCACTTCTGATTCTGCATGGAAATAGCTGAAAATAGCTTATTAAGGGTCTATTTTTATAACATTTTCATGAATTCTTTAGGAGTTTCATGCATTATACTTTGATCATATTCATTTTCCTCGCTGAACCCCTCCTACCTGTCTACCTACCCAACCTCATGTTATCTTTCTCTCAGTTAAAACCTACCAAGGCCAGTTTGTGTTGGCCAACTACTCCTGGGAATGGGCCTGCCATGAAGTGTGCTGAATGTACCAGGTCACATCATTAAAGAAAACTGACTTTTCCTCTCCCAGCTTCAACCAAAGGCCAAAAGGTCTTTCTCAGTCGGGGCTGAAACTTCATTCCTCACCCCCTTCCTCCATGCTGGGATTTTGTCTGGGTAGAGTTTTCTCAGGATTTATGCATGCTGTTGCAATCACTGCGAGTTTATATGTGCATCCGCTCTGCTGTGTGTGTAAAAGACAGTTTCCTTCAAGTCATCTTCAACCCTGTTCTAACAATGTTTCTGTCGCCACTTCCAAGAAGATCCCCCACCTTGAGGGGAGGGATGCAATATAGACATCCAGTTTAGGGCTGAACATTCCAAAGTTTCTTGTTCTCTACACATTGACCAGTTGTGAGTCTCAATGTTAATTACCATCTATTGCAAGAAGATTCTCTGGTGAGGATTGAGAGATGTACTAATGTGTGGGCATAGCAGTATATCATTACAAGTGATTTTGATGCTACATTCATTTAGCACATGATAATAGTAGGTTTTCACCTACAAACCATGACCTCTCTAGACACAGGTTTTTGGTCCCCTTGACAGTATCAAGTACAGGTTCCATCTTTTGGAATGAGCCTTCAATCCAACTTCTTAATGTGGTTGGTTATTGCCTTAACATCCATGCCATCAGTGGCTATATCTTGCCAGGTATGCCATTAATGTAGCTCACAGTTGGGTAAAATTATTACTTTTCTTCTCAAATCGCCTTCAGAGGACCCTCTAGCACTAGCACCACGAAAGCGATTATCTTAGCATAGTATTGCTGATTATCCAGTTTTTGCTTTCATGAATAGACAATAAATACTGTTGGCCCAGTCTGAGAGGAGGTCACGTGGGGAGGAGAGGAGAGCTAGCAAATGTCCACTTCCTATATGGTCTGTTGGATGCCTAACTATTCTAGTAGACATAAAATGTGACAACAGCACAGGGAATAGGCACCTGACAGACAGTATAAGTGGGAAGTAGTGCTCCTCCTAAGTGTTGTGTTGGGGCGCTACAATGCATTTTGCATTAAGATGGGTGTTTTTTATGAACCCATTAGTGAGGAAAAGCAAGGTATTGTTGCATGTTTATGCATTATTGGGTGCAGGTGATGCAGTGAATCCAACAGACATATTCAGAGCCTTTACATTCTAGGGCGGTGTAGAAGGAGTGGTTATATATAAAATTCCAACCTGGGGAAGGAACATAGAGCTGATTAAGGAGTAGAACTGAGGATGCTAAAAGATCCTAGCTCTACACAAGGCTTAAAACAGACATTTCTAATAGGTGATGTTTTAAAGATGTAAATGATAAGCGAACAGGTCTCTGCTGTTTGTTCTAGGTAAATGGAGAATAAGAGAGACTATGCTTAGTGTGGATGAGTGATAGTGGAACTTCAGTGACATGAGAAAGAGGTACAATGAGAAGATGGCATCATACCTTATCAAAGACAAGTTCAGAGCTACTCTGGAGGCATCCCAAGCATTACTGTAGCTTTTCCATTGATGATAGAAATTATTTGAAGTAGCTCATGATGTTTGTCCCTCCTTCCCTTTGCTCTCTTCTTACTTTTGTAATTCAAAATGGACTCTGTAGATGAGAATAGCATAATGTAAGGACAGGACAAGTTCAACCACAGGGAGTAGAAGAATTATATATGCATTTAAATTGATAAAGTAACACTTAGCTCTCTGTAGCTATTCACAGACAAAGTTGCTTGTGGAAACAACAATGAAAATGATGCTAAGCATAGTTCAAATTTAAACAACAGTTTGTTTTCTGATAGCTTTGTGAGTGCCATTGTTTTTATTCCCCATCTTGACAATTTGGTTTCTGTCTATCCTTTGTGGTTAATACACATGAGTGCCCTTAATAATTGCTGAAATTCCCAGAAATCCTTAAAAAAAAAAAACCCTCTATCTCTTTTGCTTTTATGGCTACTAGAGTCTCAGTTTTACATCACACGTTTTTATTGCATTCATATGACATTATTGGGGGAGGATGAATTCATGTGAAATGTAGTTTTATGATGGGAAATTGATCCCACTATCAAAATTTAGTAGAAATTCAAACTATGAGCTGAAGAAATGCCTCAGCCATTAAAAGCTCTTCTTGTGCTTCCAGAGGACATGAGTTTAGTTCTGAGCACCCACACAGGGCATCTCATAACAGCCTGTAACTCCAGCTCCGGGAAATCCAATGCCCTCTTCTGACATCTGTAGGCACCCCCTACACACACACACACACACACACACACACACACACACACACACACACACACACACGGCTTACAAACATACATATACATAAATAAATATATGATAATGAATAAAAATGAAATCTAAAAAATCTAAAGAACAAATCTATTTGTTGTATAAAAGCCATTTTATATAGTTTTTGCTGTTGCTTGTTTGTTTTTATTTATAATGGACACATTGTATTTTATCTAGGTGGAGACCATTGGGGATGCATACTGTGTGGCAGGGGGATTGCACAGGGAGAGTGAAACCCATGCTGTCCAGATAGCACTGATGGCCCTGAAGATGATGGAACTCTCCAATGAGGTTATGTCTCCCCACGGAGAACCCATCAAGGTAAGCCAGTGACAAGTTGCATGTTAGTGGGTTGTCAAAAACCTGGTGCATCGACCAGGGCTTGGTTTTAAAGAGGAGAAAGTCTTGTCAAATCTGTTAGGTGAGGGGGACAAAAATCACCATAGGCTGTCACATGGCCTTTACGATCATCGAGATAAGTGAAAATGCCATTTGCAAGCTGGTTTTTCAGTCTCCTAAAATCTACAGCAGACCAGTGCTTTCTTTGCCTGTGGTTTGGTATCATATGCCAGACCTACATCACTGCAGCTTTGGCAGAAAACCATTCAGGGCAGAAAGTTGCTTCTTATGCTCATTGCTGAAAGACAGACTGAAACCTGCTGGAAATTGAAGCAGTGTTACTACTGTTGCAAGATATGAGACTGGTAAACGGGCCCTCTACTAAGCATGTCATACGGTCACAAAGCTCCCACAACCGTACTCACCACTGGAAGTACAAGGGACACAGTCTCTGTGGAAAGCTGACCTTCCAAAGCCAATGCATCCATCCAGCTTTATGCATCTAGAAAGCGCCAGGTAGTTTAGAAAATGAAGTATTTGTTTTTCAGCAATGGCAGAGGATATCGCCTTAGAAAATTGGCTGTGGAAAGGCTATTCTAACTGTATAGCAGTTCGTTCAGTTGTTCATTGGGTATGGTTAATTTCACTGCTTGGAATTTTTTTTGTAGGTTCTTTATAAGAAAGGGTTTTTTTGTTTTGTTTTGTTTTTGTTTTTTTGTTTTTTGTTTTTCGAGACAGGGTTTCTCTGTGTAGCTTTGTGCCTTTCCTGGAACTCGCTTTGGAGACCAGGCTGGCCTCGAACTCACAGAGATCTGCCTGGCTCTGCCTCCCGAGTGCTAGGATTAAAGGCGTGTGCCACCACCGCCCGGCTATAAGAAAGTTTTAATAAAAACATAAAACTGAAAGAATATTGACTATGGAGCCAACAGTATTCTCTAGGCATGTGACACTGTAAGAATTCTAGAGGAGACAGATTCAGAATAATGTACTATTGCAAAAAAGAAAATGAAAACAAAATGCCAGGTGTTGATTCAATAGATAAAACCTGAAGGGATCATAGGAGTTGTCTTATAGCAAATTTACTATTTAATCTTAACATTCTTTACTTGATGACTTTTCAGCGATGAACCCTAAAAATAATATAGAATTCTATCCATTCAACTTTCAGTATCTAATTTCAAGAAAGAAGAAAAATGTGAAAGTAAAGCTATAGTAAAGACAAGTTTAGCCTTAGCCTTCTGTCACCTAGAGAAGCCATGTGTCTAAGCCTTCCCAACATTTTCAAATTCATTTGTCAGCTCACTCTTATATTGCTGTATCCTATACTTGCCAACATTTACTAGTATAAATTCACAGACATTTGTTGTATACTGATTTTGTACATCATGAGTTTGAATAAGTTATAAGAAGGCTGCCAAGTTTTAGGTGCAAAATATCTGGGACTCTTCGCTAAGAATAACCAAGTAGAAGGGGATGTATGGAAAAGTGAGGGTTGTACTGTGTGAACAGGAAGATCCATTCAAAAATAGCAGCTTTACCCATCTGCTGGGTAGGATGATAGAAATTCTGGTATTGGCTGCTATTGTCTACTCACATTCTACATGCTCCAGCATGGTGGGCTAAGAGTAATCATATTTTTCCCATGGTGGCAAACATCCTAGTGAATGACTGGAAGATATTGTGTGGCCTTTTATGACTTAACTTTCCACAGCACACAGAGGCATTCCCACCTATTCTATTGTTCAGAGCAATCACTTCTCTGCTCAGGGAAGGGAGCACAGACCCCAAATCTGAAGCAGATGACTATGGGATACTCTGCAGCTGTGCTTTAAAAGCTTCAAGGCATCTCACGTTAGATCTCGTCTCTATACTAGCATTTTTAGAGAAGAAATGTGTTTTTCTTTTCCAATATTTTGGTAAGAGAGTTCACAACATCACAGTAGATATTAAAAACATCTAGATTATTAGCAATAAGGCCACAATTGCTTCATGAATTATTTTTATATGTCAGATCCATATCGGGAGATTAAGGGTAGGGTTTTTGTTAGTTGTCTCAATGTCGTTGTTCTTATTTTTGTGGCTAGGAGAATTATTTATAGTTAGCCTTAAAGATAATTACCAGGGTAATAACAGGGTAGCCTTAGTGACCTGTGAAGTGGGACATTAAATAGGTCTTTCAATGTCTATTCGTGGGCAGTCCTGTGAAATACTTGATGGAATTAGGGAGTCACAGTGAACCAAACAAAGCTGAGTGGGGAGTGTTTTTAACAGACAGAAAAATGTGAGTATGTATGAAGAGATGCACATTGTGATTTAGACATCACCTCATTTAATTTGGTAGACAACATTTGAACACTGGCCCAGGTCCCTGGGAGTTTGGATTTGGAGTCTTGGATTCAGCAATCAGACTTCCCTTACTTCTCATCTGGTTTCCTCATGAAGAAGTAAAAACTATTCCCCTGGTGTTTTTTGTTTTTGTTTGTTTTTGAATTTGTTTGTTTTTCTTTCTAACTCTGTGCTGCTCTCTAGTGCAGTCACGGGTTGGTATCAGCCATGAACTTCCTCCTCCTCACTGTGTCCTCATTCATCCTCACTCACTGAGGAAAACTGTGAGTGGACTATGGGTAGAGAACGGAGGAAAGTCAATATGTGTCAGGAAAGAGGGAAATCCCCATCTGGAACCTTCCTTGCCTACGCGGCCAGGAGATGAAAATAAGCCACGCCAAAACAATCCTCCAACCAAGGGCTTCCCTATTATAAGGTTCCCTTCAAGAGTTACTGAGGTCTCCCATGGGGAGTCAGCAGAGCCCAGCTCATGGGATATCTCAATAACTCTTGAATGTGGGGATGCCGGGTGGCTTGGGAAGGAGGGCTGGGTGGTGGGAGGAGGGAAAAGGGGGGGCTGTGGATAGCATGAGGGGTGAGTAGAAAATTTCTTAATAAAGAAAAATAAAATAAAGTAGGAAAAAAGAGTTACTGAGAGATGAAATTCTCTTTGCCTTTCATTATTTCACTCACTTTTCCCAATGGAAAGAATCCATTCAGACATGCTGCTCATCTTACGTTATGGATGAACTTTTGTTCTTGAATTTGGGGTAAATATAAGATTGAGGACTGGAGAAGGAGAGGGAAGGAGGGCTATGTGAGAGGAACATGTGAGGCTCTGGCCATATCTGTGAGGAGAATACACTTACATATTATTTATGAAATAAAACCATAAAATGTTATGGTAAACTTATCATCTAAAAAATCCTAATATCAATATACAGAGAGAACCTGGAGCAAGGGACTGTGCCCAAGAGAACACAGCCTCCTTAATACAGTTGTGTTAAGGTTGTATTTATGGCTGATTCAATTGTACAGTTGTTAGGTATGCAAAACCATACTATCCTAAGGATGAAAAAAAACCTAGGTACAGCAGACAGCTAGCTTCTAAGTGTAGACTTCTGGCTTTAAGAATCATGCACCTCTCTGTTTTGTAGATGAAGAAATAAGCAGGGGAAAAAAGGGTAGAGAAAGCAGATCTTCAGAGGGCTGCTCTCCTAATGTTCTGGTCTGAAAATGATAAATAATTGGTGCTATGACGTCTTGAAAGATTCTAGGACATTTCTACCAAATGCCCAAAGTTAGCTGTAAAACTAAGAAAAACTTGAGCTGGAAAGATGGGTCAGCAGATATGTGAAGACATTGGGAAAGCTTCGTGAGTTCTCTGCTCAGCAAAGGCAGGAGGAGAGAACCCACTCTACAGAGTTGCTCTGACCTCCACAACTTGCTGTACCACACTCCCTTCCCATCACATTTTCTTTGAGGCAGAATTTCTTTGTGTAGCCCTGGTTGTCCTGGCACTCACTGTGTAAATCAGACTGGTCTCAAACCACAGAGTTCTACCTGCCTCTGCTCTGCCTCTGCCTCTGCCTCCAGAGAGTTGGCATTGAAGGCAGGAGCCACCACACCTGAAGAATAAATACATGTTTAAAAATAAAACATAAGTCTTTTAATTGCAAGCAATATATCAGATAACCGAGTCTTTGGCCTTTTTTTTTTTTAGAGGACATATAGCTAATAAAACTTTTCAAGTGACCAGCTAGATACAGAATCTGAAAATGATGAGCATAGTATGATATTGTTATCATCTGTTACATGCTTGTAGCAGTCAGTTAAGAATGTGGGTACCCTCTCACTTCATCAAGGACCTCCATCTTTTAGAGTAGCCCATTTAAAAGTATATCATCCCAATTACAGTATTTGGAGGTGGAGGCAAGATTCAAAACTGTCCTCTGCTATATAGCCAGTTCATGCACAGCCTGGACCATGTGAGACTTGGGCTCAAAATAAAGAGAAAATATTTCATCCAAAGGCTCCTCTGACCGTTCATAATTTCTAAGCTCCATTACAGACTGTGTCTTCCATTTAGATATTGCCTTAAGTTTCATGTTGTGGGAATCTGGATTTTAGGTTCCTGAGTCTAGACTGTATAGATTGTAACTACAGGGATCTGGGTCCCTGACACTCTATAATTTTCTCTATCCTCTGTCATTTCCACTTCAATATTATAATTCCTTTTCCTCAGCTGCTAATCATTTAAATAAAGGACTAGTGTTTGGCATAAAATTACTGTAAAACAAAATGTTTTGTTTTAGATCCCATCGCTTTTTATTTTGAAATTGGAGTCTGACTAGCTTGCCCAAGCTTAGCTGAAACTCCAGAATTCAGAGTTCATCCTGCTTTAGCCTTTTGAGTATCCGGAGCTACAGGTGGCCCTCCTTTGTCCTTGTTTCAAGAGTTTCCTGCTACAGTCTAAAAAGAATGTCTTTCTCTCATTTAAAGGACAGAGCAGCTTTGTGTGAGATATCCACAGGTTCTTTGTTATTCTGCTGAAGCGATCCTGGGAGGCTGGAGAACAAGTTTATTCCAGATGTTTAAGACAGGTGCCATAAAACCAAACACCCAAAGAGCAGAGTTACCGGGTGTGACAGCTGACTCTGCCCTGGGAATGCTGCTTTGCATGAGCCTTAGAGGTGACTCGCTGGAAGATGGGAATGTGGTGGAGTTAGTCACAGAGGTTAGAAACATCTAGACAAGACAGTCAAACAATCCTGACAAGCGGGAAGTGACCTGGAGCGCTGCTATTTTGCTTTCAGATGCGAATTGGACTGCATTCTGGGTCAGTGTTTGCTGGAGTTGTTGGCGTAAAAATGCCCCGCTACTGCCTATTTGGAAACAATGTCACTCTGGCTAACAAATTTGAGTCCTGCAGTGTGCCCCGGAAAATCAATGTCAGCCCCACAACATACAGGTACCAATGGCATGGTTTCCACTTTGACGCGGTTGTCCTTTTTAATCTGTCTCCAACACCTGTTTTACTTGCACTGGAAATCTTACAGGAAAATGAAATGAAATCACTTTTAGAATTCTTACTTTAACTTGTTTTAAGGCTTTCACTACCCTTGGGAGATAATTTCAGCATTAATTCTTAGCGGATATCACATCTTATTCCGTAATTTTTCATTCAAAATGTCTGTTTACCTTCCTAGTATGCCAGTGGGTATGCTAACACCAACTGGTACCCGGCAGTACAGTTCCAGCAGGAGCTACCCAGAGTTAACAGAATCACAACATTTTATAGGAGTCAGTGCTCAACAAAACTGACTAAGATCAGACACCAGTCACACCCTAGGAGTGCTCGGACGGGAGCACTTTGGGACAGATAATATGAGGGTTTCCCTGACCCCTTCAAGTTAGCCCTTCTAGACTTAAATCAGATTCAGGTAAGTATTGCCCAAGCAATCCTGGATGCCTTATTTGTGAAGAAGACAAATCAGAATCAGCCAAATGAAAAAGCATAGAGGGTGAGGCCTGACTAGGGTCCAAATGCTTCTCCTCATGTAATCCGGACAGATACATTACTGGCTCTTGCCACACCAGTGGAGTCATAACCAGGAGGCTCTGCTCTTTCAAGGGTTAATGCCTGCATTCCCGGCTTTCTTTATTGAGGGAGAATGGACTGTCTCATGGGCTGTGGTTAATAAAACACAGTTTCCAGTCTGCTACCCCAGCTCTCTACTAACCTGGAAGATGTTTCTGGAAGCCTGTCCCCACTCTGAGTCATCTCATTAACATAAACCAGGTGGGATCCAAAGGGTTCATAAAAAACAACAGCAACTCTGTAATTCAGGAAATTTCCCAGGGTTTGAGGGTCACTCCTGACAACCAAGAACAAGGGGTAAATCCCCTGCTTCAGAACCATAGGGACAAAAGGGTGATCAGCAAAGGAAACCTGCCAGGTCATTAAACAATTTCAGTCTGTATTCTTGAGGACCAGCAGCAAATGGTGACATTGTAACGCAGAAGCCAAGTGTCAAGACCAAAAGGAACTCTTAGTGTGAGTGGTGAGCTGTGGCACAGGCCTCAAATGCCAGCTGATTAGGAGGCTGAAGCAGGGTGAGATCAAGTTCAAGGCTAGTTTGAGCTACAGTGAGTTCAAAGCTAGCCTGGGAAATTTACAAGACTGTCTCAAAATGGAAACATAAAGGAGGAGTCTGGAGAGGTGATTCAGCAGTTAAGAGCAGTTACTGCTCATCCAGAGGACTCAGGTTCAGTACCTAGCACCCACAAGGTAGCTTATTACCTTTTGTAACTCCAGATGATCCAGCACCCTCTTTTGGCCTCAAGGAGAACCAGGCACATACACAATGTATCATACATGGAGACAAAACACCCATGCACATAAAATATGAATAAAGGGAAACCCCAAAGTAACAGAAAGTGTTCCAGATCCCTAAAGATCACAAGAATATCGTACTATTTAATCTTATAAAAACATAAAAGCTCCCATATCGCCAAATCGGTCTCTTGCTGTTCCCTTATATTTATGCTCCTTTATACAAACAGATACCAAACAGGAAGTAGAGTTCCAACATGTGCTAGTGAAGCTCCTTTGTGGGCTGGAGACTTTCCTCCATTGACACTGTGCTCACCCAGCCCTGGTGTTGAAGCCCTGATGTTGGGTGAGTCCCCACCACTGTATAAACGAAGAGTGGTGTGCGTGCCTGCCTGTAATCCCAGTGCTTAGAAGATGGTGTCGGGAGGTTCAGAAGTCCAAAGTTGGAAGCCAAACCGGGATACATGAAGCCCTGTCTCTAATAAGTCCTCCCACCCAAGAGCGCACTTTAGACCTACCTTTATGGAACTAATTTCTAAAATCCACTAATATTTCAAAAAGTAATTTTCATATCATTTTTATCATTTTCCCTTTTTTTCACAGCTTCTTGTCATGTTTTCCTCTCAATTGCAAGTAAATGGACAGTTATTTATCATTTTAACTTAGGAAACCCTTTTCAATCACTTTAAAATGATATGTTTGCTATTATTAAAACTTAGAGTTTGTGTTTATGAATTCATTGTTATATAAATCACATCATCCCCAATATTATATAATTAACTTTCCTTTTAGTGTGAGTCAAATGTGTGAGTAAGCAGAATTTCTATTATTTTGGTTCTTTGTAGCATTTTTTATGTGTGTGGGGGACTGTCTATTGACTCATGGGAATCCTTTTGTCAATCATACCTAATATGACTACTGTAGTAATATCTGTTTACTTCTGTTGTCTTCTTGTCCTGAATTGCCAAATGTTTCTGTCGGCATTAACTTTTTATTTTATTTTAATTTTTTTTCAGGTTACTCAAAGACTGCCCTGGTTTTGTATTCACCCCGAGATCAAGGGAGGAGCTTCCACCCAACTTCCCTAGTGACATTCCTGGAATCTGTCATTTTCTGGACGCTTATCATCAACAAGGGCCTAGTTCTCAGCCGTGGTTCCAGCAGAGAGAGGAGGAGGATGGGAATGCCAACTTCTTAGGCAAAGCGTCAGGAGTAGATTAGTGAGTCCCATGCTTCTCTGTTTGACTCCGCTGAGGACTTGCAGAACCTCTGGAATGACTTTAGGATTACAGAAGATGGAAAGCAGTGTTAAAGGTTCAGGACAAAGTCCTTGTCTCCTCTGCCTCCCGTTTAACATGACACACACACACACACACACACACACACACACACACACACAAATATTCACTTCAACTCTTCAACCTTCTTCTATTTAAGAAACAAACAAACCTCAAAAGTGACTTTTGGGGACATGGTTTTGTTCTAGAACAATCACTACCTGCACTCAAAATCCAGCACATTGTACATATCCCAGGCAATTGTAGTCAAGTGCAACTGTATAAAGCAATGGATTCTTCTGCAGCCTGTGCCCAGTGCAACGCTGTGTTTATTAAAGTGTGTTTGTGATAGTGTCGCCTTTAAAGTCTCTGAGTAGAAATGACAGTGTTTAATTCTATAAGAGCTTCTGGACTTTCAGCTCTGCCTCTGAATAGATCTCCTCATTTAACCACAGTGTATGTAACACAATAGGCCCGCCCCTTCCTTTCAGCTATATCTTTGTGTATGTGTGTATTTGCGTATGTCTTTTCTTTTCTTTTCTTTCCCCTCTTTTCCTTCCCTCCTTCTTTTCCTTCCTTCCTTCCTTCCCTTCCTTTCTTCCTTCCTTTCCCTCCTTTCTTCCTTTCCTTCCTTCCTTCTTTCCTTCCTTCCTTCCTTCTTTCCTTCCTTCCTTCTTTCTTTTTTTAGAAAATAAGCAATTAGACATTAGATTAAAATGTAGTATGAAATAGTTCTACAATTATTAAAGAATATTTTCATGTTTGACACTAAAAATATTCTCCGTAACACAATATATCATAAAACAAACGCTTTTTTTTGTTTTGATTCCATATGTGATAAAGTCTGTTTTACTTACTAATGAAAATTTACTTCCTATTAATCCATGTAAAAGATACTAACAGCAAACATTTCAGAATAAAAAGACTTACAGCCGGAGTTAAAATATAATACTATTCTAATTCAGTTAAAGCAATGTGACATGCGATTGAAGTTTGCATACCGAGAGTCTGCAGTAGAGCACAGTGGTGAAGTGTTCTCACACACACATGTCCAAATGATCCTCTACTGCCATGTTGAGCCATAAATCCCAAGGGGAAAAGTTTTAGCTTCGAAGTAGAGAATGGGTCTTATTTTAATCTTTTTTTGATAGCTTCTTAAATATTTCTGCTGACCATTTTAGAGTATGTGTTAAGAATCAAGTTTTGTATTATTTGGTGTATATCTGTGAAGTGTTTATTCTAGTTAAAATATCTTAATGGCATTTTCTAAAGAAAGCACTAATACCAATGGAGGAACCCTTGTGTGGTTTCATTGTGGGAATTTGTATATGTTTTTCTGGAGTCTGAACTAATTTCCTGCCCCTCCCATGCCTTTCTTCCCCTCTCATTGCACATGGATGTGTGATTCTGGGGACTGAACACAGAGCTTGTGCATGCTAGGCAAGTGCTCTGTTCCTGAGTGACTCCATCACCATGGAGCTTAGATTTTATTGCTAATGATGTCAGTTTATATTCTCCCCACTGTTAAGTCCCAGTGTTCAATTTGGTAAAAGGATATGACTTTAAAACAGATGCACAGTTGGGTTTTTGAACTGGTATTAGCAGCACTATAGATGTTCTGATTTTTTGTGAAAGGATTTGAAAAGAAAATCAGTTTAAAAGTCCTTTACTACCTCCACTAGTCTCCAGGCATCGGGAGTAATAGTCATCACTTGCCTGGCTCTAGTTTCCCAGGGGTACGATAAAGCACTCCAGTGGATTTCTTTAAAGGTTGGTAGTGTCTTATTAAACACTCACTCATTTGCTCTTTCTGGAATTAAAATTCATTACAAGGAAAGTAATAGGAATTACAGGCAATTAGAAGCATCAAACAGGACATCGTTCTCATCACCTGTGTATTTAGGAAGTTGCTATGTTAGTAATAATCTGATTCAGAGCTTGTACATTAATTAGAATTCCACACTGCCTTTTAGGGATGGAGATAGAGCTCAGCGGCAGAGCAACCGCCTAGCATGTATGCTGTCCTGAGTTCCAACCCAAGCGGTGGGAAGAAACTCTGTGTCTCTCTCATGTGCATATGACATACAATCACTCTCACCTCTGCCACCTGTGTACACCTGGAGCAAATGGAGGGGTTTACTGTATATAATCCAAGTAAAAGATGTATGGAAGCTCCATGTATGATTCCTGTAACTTTTCTATTATTTTGGCATTTTATCTAAATAAAAATTATCTATGAAAAATTATTTTCCTGAAGCAACTCTCTCTTAGAGGTTCCCTAGACCTGCTTGTGAGGAGCCATTAACTGCAGAAAAAGAAAAGCCATTGCCTTCTGCCTCTGCAACAGTGTTAAAACCATGAGACAAGGGGCATGCTAAGCCTTAAAGAATGTGGATGAGAGATGATGTGTGTTTTTCAAAGACTGTTTCAGGAAACGCGTGGATGACAATGAATATTCGTGTGCACAGGTGACTGCATGAACGGTTGCTTCTATCTTAGTGGAAAACAGTTCATGTTATTCCTGGGGGATTTTGCCAGAAGAATGAACAAAATAACTGAGTCAATGAAGTGCTGCTGGCAAGTGTGATAATGTCTGTTCAATCTCAAGATTGGAACCAAGTGTTTGTGTCATAGCTGGGAAGTGACAGGGAGTAAAAAGAGGAAAGGGAAGGGAATCACTACCCTCTCAGGCATGCCTTCAATTGCTAACAGATCTCCCACTACCCCCCATCTGTTGATGTTGTCACCACCTGCCAAGAGTGCCGAGCTGGGAAAGAAACCTTTAACACACAGGCCTTTGGGGAACAGTCACACGGCTTTAAACTACTGCAACTTCCTACTGTTCATTGAACTGTGAAACAGATGTAACTTCAACTATTCACACACTTTGGTGATAACACCCTTTATGGGAGTTGGACAGTGACATAGAGAATTAAATGGTGGAGGGACCAACACAGGGTACCTGTGAGGGCTGCAGAGGCAGTCATTAGCATCTTCCCCCAAACAGAAACTACTGGGCAGAGATGAGGGGAAGGGCAATCCACTTGACCCGGTACAAGCAAACAGCTGGGGAGGCTTTAGCTCACTTTATTATGAAAAAAAAAAAAATACCAACCAGTCACTTCCAACCATGATTTATAGTGTCAGAACATAACGTACAGCCTTTGGCTGGGAGGCTTTTCCGGTCCTGGAAAGTCTTTGTGTCTTTTAGAGAGATGGGGAAGAATCACACTTGCCGTAGAAGCAATCAGTCCCTTGTAGGCCTTGTTGTATCCAGTTTCCTTCTCTTAGAAAGTCAGCATCTGGCTTCGTGATGGTGGTGTTCCCTTTATTACACCAATGATGTGACTCATTTGATATTTTGATCTGAGACCACTTCAAATGCTGTGCATGTTATTAATCTTTGTATTTCCTAGCCACATGGACATCTATTGTGAGCAGTCCACATGGCCCACATAACTTTTGCTTAAATCTTTATTTACTTGTTCATGTCCAGTTCTTCAAATTTGATGTTCCTATAAGAAAGTAGAAAAGCCTTCATAAATGGACAGATTTTTTTTTTAATTCAAAAACTTAAGTAAAAGGGAAAATGTGATAATCTCAAAACCACATTTCTTCCATTATCAGGGCAGATTCGTTGCCATCATAATTAAATTACTTTCATGATGAGTTACTGTGTTAGTCTTAAATATAGCAGTTAAAATCAATACAAAATTTAAATGGCAGATGTAAGACTTAATCTAAGATATTCCTTAAAAAGACCGCAGAGAGAAGTGTTTTCAAGCTTTTAAATTTTTTTAAACACATGATGCCAGAAAAAGAGATTGTAAGCGAATCTCACGGAGTTTGAAGAAAATTGCTTAGCAGAAAATGCCTGCATGGTACCCAAGTCCTAAAAAGTCTGCTAAGATGTTTGTTTACTCTGAAATGCTGCCAAACCCTTCTCTATGGTAGAAAGAATTATGAGGTAACTTCAGAATAAACTAAAACAAAACAAAGCAAAAAACTTCACTATAATAGAAACTGAGCAGAACAATGTGCTGGGCAATCCACATGGTAGAAGAAGAAAAAATGAAGCTCACTGGAAAGTTATGGTGACAGTGCTTGTGGGTCCTGCACCTTTATAAATATTTTATTAATATGATATGATATAACACAAATATTGTAGTAATTGCCAGTGACTAAGGCAGTGTTCCAGGCAGTGTTTATTCACAACAGCTGCCCATAATTCCCAAATATGCAGTTACTAATTTTGGAACTTATAGGTCCCAAATCCTTGGCCAATACAGAGAGACACATTTATGTTGAAGCTGCCCACTATGAGAAGAAACCAGACATACCAGCCACCTTTGCTAGTTCATTTGAGTTGCAAGTGTACAAGACATATCTGTGTCTAGCAGAATCTGAGACCTCACAATTTCTCCTCTCCTGTCTATATTTCTGTCATTACTCTGCATGATCACTTGATGAGTCTCTAAGATGTTCCATCTCTTCCCCAGTCATCATTCACACTCCGCACCACACTCTTCTAGAACGCTCTGTATATAACATTCTAGGCCTCTACTTACCTGTTCCTCCAAATCCTTTTCATTCACCAATTCCAGCCTCTAAATTACTTCTATATTTCCAGGTACACTTGAAGTAACTGTCCCAAGACTTGTTTCCTGTCATCATCACAACTAAGGAGGACACAACAAAGAGAAAAAGTTAGTTAGCTCAGTTTAAAAGCTGAAGGTCAAAGAACACGATGCAGACTGTGCTGTGGCCTCATGGTGAACATGGAATGTTTTTAGGAACAAGAGGACACACAAAAGTTAGGAAGTTCTTTGTAAAATTTTATTGATTGCACCTGTATGGGTATTTCGTCTGCATGTATGTCTGTACAGCATATATATGTGCCTGATGGCTAGGGATGGCAGAGAAGGGTGTCATATTCTGTGGGGCTGGAGTTACAAATGGTTGTGAGCAGCTAGGACATGACCTTCATAGGAACTGAACCCAGGTAATTTAGCAGAGCACTCAGTGCTCTTATCCACTGGGCAAGCTCTCCAATCCCTAAGATTTCTCTTTTAAAAACATCTCTTTCTAAGAATCAGCTACAGGTTCAATAAGGGCACCCTTTGTCTACCAAAGGCTTCATCCCCAAGCCTTAAGATCTCCCACTCGTCTCTACCTCTTAAGAGTACCATCACCTCTCACATCACCACACTGAGGCCCAAGTGTCCAAAACATGAATCATTTTGAGGTAAACCAAACTCACACCATCTATATATATTGACCATTCCATTTGGTCAAAAGCATCTTTACCAGAGCAGCATGGTGTATTGTCTACTACAGACTATCTTAATCAGTCAAAGAAAAATCGAGGCTGATTGTTGTTCATTGGGTATTTAACATCTCTCTTAATTCCTGAAATTATCACACTTCCTTTCTGTTCACATTCTACAAGCTCAGACTAAGTGAAATGACCACCTTTACTGTGTAAAATGATAGGAGGAAATGGGAATGATTAGGGTGATCTATACAGTCTGCATCATAAATATTTATTGAAAGCTTACTCTTTGCCAGACATTGTTCTACACTTTGTAATTCCCATTATTTCTGACAGTGGTCCATGTTATCATGAAATTGATGAGCTTTGTTCAGACTAGGCCCAGCTGCAGTCAAGATAAAATACATACATATATACATGCTGTTTTACTTATGTACATATATAATATACACATACAATACACACATATGCATACATGTTCATACAATAAAATATTATACATTATACCTCCACAGAGAGAGACAGAAGTTCTTTCTTCTCAAATCAGGCAAACAGCTTACATGCTCTCTGGTTTGTGTCTGTCAGTTGGTGCACTTATTTCACACAGCATGGAATCCATTAGCTCCAGGGAAAGAAGACACACACCCAAGTGAAGAACAAAATGTATCCTCCTTCTAATTCACTTGAGTTGTTTACAATGATGGGGGAAGGGCATCTCTGAAGAGGCACACAGAAAAAATGCTATCTCTTTGCAAAAGCAGGGACACGTCTCTTTCTGACAGATGTAGACAGGGTTGTCACCTCTCATTGGCCTCAGCATGAGTTAAGAAGGGACTGTAGGGTTTCCTCCCTCCCCTTCCCATCTGCTTAATGGAGAACAAACCTGCTTTTAGACAACCAGCTCTTGAAGTCTGGCTGCCTCACCTACCTAAATGCACACTGAAAGTAACTTCTTCTCAGGAGGAATTTGGCATACAGAATGGGAGTGTGACCAAGCACACTTTAAGAGGCTCTCATATGCAAGAACTGGAAATACTCTGTAGAATCTTCTTGTAGCGGATCCTAGGAAACTAGGAGAATCTCACTGAAAGCTCCCTGTGTATTGGATGATATTCACTTTTCATTATTGATGTCAAGTGAGAGGAAGACAAGAGTGTGAAGGACAGAACATTACATGAAAATTAGACAGTTACCTTACATTTGATTCATTTGCTTAGAAGTCATTGCCAGAAGAGGTATGGCTGTTAAAGCAACCAATTCCTAAAACCCATTACCTACCTCATAATGAAAACCTGAGTGGCTCACAGAAATCTGCCTTTTAAATCAAATTCTAAAGGAGCTTATAAAATCAGTTCTAGATCTCAGGAGTCCATTTCAGTGTCTCTTACCATGGAGGAGCACTCACCTACTGGATGACAAGCATGTTGGCTGTTGATATTTCCATAACTGTGTGTATTTCCCAGAAACCATTTCAGTATATCCCTCCTTCTTAGACCATGAGTGTATTAAGTGGGGCATGGGACATCAGGCCTCCTTAGATGCTTTCTATTTTGCTTACCTGCTCACAGACTCTGTAGGTTATGATAAAGATCATCAAAGGTCAATATGCGAAGGATAGAGTAGAAGAGATAAATATGCCTCCCTATGCCATATGAGACCAACAGAGCTATTCTGGGATAAAGGTAAAGAGTCTGTGCTTAGCTAATTGCTGAACTGTAGGCCTGAAGAGGAATAATAGAAAAGGCAATTGATTGCTCATTTTCTGCATTTATACATGTTTATGTAATCTGTTAAACTTTTAGTGTTACACAGAACAAGCGGCAGTTCTCATTTTCATTCACAGGTTTATCTTGGAAACATGCCTCGTCTCCCCAGGATGATTTTCTGTCCCAGAAAAGACTCCTTACACATGACTGCCCCCTTTCTTCCAACCTTTCACTTCATTATTGGTATTTGTTCAAACCTAATTCTCAATTCTGGATGAGATATTTTCCTATATTCTTAATGTTCACATGTAATGAGAAAAATAATGAGTTCTAAGGAAACAGACAAGTGGTTTTGATGCTGATAAAAGATGTTTCTCCAGCTTTGAGAAGATGGTGGAGAAAACCTTTAGTTAGACTCTATAATCCACCTACTGTCACAAAGACAGAGGTTTTTATAAAGTCCCCAAGTCAAAAAGTAACTATTAAATATTACTGTCTCCTTATAAAATGTCACTCCCTATTGTAATCCACACAGCACATCGACCTGATTTTTTTTATTTTTATGACAATTTTCATTGAGAAAAGTAGAATTTATAGCCAGTTGATGCTTCTCTCACTGTCTTTTCAGTCTACCAGATGATTTTTAAGCTACCTAATAATGTTAATAATTTCTAGTTGTTATATTTTATTTGGGTTTCTTTTTGTTTAAGTTAGCCACTGTTGGTTTCTATCTATTGCCATGTAGAACTATCATGGAGAAACCAAAAGCTTCTCTGATTATCCTGGAAAGACACACAAACTTTAAAAAAAAAATAAACTTTGTTTCTCTATGACAAAAATGGCCTGTAGTAGACCCAAGCTTCGATTGGCATGGTCCTTTCCTCAGGAAAACACAAGAAGACCAACAAGAGACCAAGAATTTAATATAACCGTAGAATTATGTATGGAGAATTTCTGCTGCTATTGACATTTCTGAGAGATTTAGTTTAAATATAATCTGCACACTGGTCTTCGTCAACTTAGACTGCAGCTACAAAATCATATAATCTATAGACACCCTATTTCTCACTAGTCTTAAGGCTGGAAGTCCAAGACCATGCTGGCAAGTTCAGGTCTTGGTGAGGGCCCTCTTCCTGACCCTATGTGCTGCTGGTTTAGGAGATGTCCACCATAGGCTCACATTGTGAACATTTGGTTCCCTGACTGGCAGCACTGTGTGGGTAGGTAACAATGTAGTGTATTCTTGCTGGAGGAAATACAATACGGTGGGGGTGGGGGTCAGGTTTGTGCTGAGAGTTTATAGCCTTGCTCCACTTTCGGGTCACTCTTCCTGCTGCAAGTTTATGATTGATCTGTCTGCTTCTTGGTCCAGCTGCCTCCTGTCACGCCTCCCCTGCAGTCAAGAACTCTCACTGCAATCAATCATCTAAATTCTTACTTCTATAAATTGTCTTGATTATAATATTTGTCACAGCAACAGAAAAGTAACGAATACACCTGCTTGTTCATGTATCTCTCACACACAGGGAAGAGAGAGCCCAGCCACTGTTGTCTTGTGCAAACTCTTGCTTCTTCTTGTAAGCCCTAATTTCACGCCTTCCTTTTAATCAAATGACCTGCCAAGGGCTGTGGAGATGAGGATGTGGACATTTTGTCAGGATAGAAAGTTTTATTCTGTCTCCCATAGTACGTGCTGGCTCAGTATTGCCCAACTCATTTCAGTCAACTATGCCATTTTTCTACATGAGAAACTCCTTACTTCCCTGAAGTTAGTTCTACCTTAATTCAGATGGAAGAAACCACTAATCACCACAGTATGCCTAAAGAATAACTCTGCTCTTAAAGATGTATTATTTATGGACATTTCAGATAGTCTTTTGGCAAGAATAAAAACTGAAAGTAATCAATTCCAAGGAAAAAAGAAGTAAGAGCAGTTCCATGAACTGAATGCATTTAGCTTGAAAGATAATGAATTAAGACAGAACCCAGAATGGACTATCTTTATTTCACATAAATTAATGGAATCACACACTTCTGAGGCCATTTTATTCTGTTGACTGACTATTGTTTGTTGAGCTCAAGTGAGAATAAAGGAAGGGACCAGGAATCTGGCTTATAGACACTCTCTAATACTGGTATGATTTAAGCAAGTTGTTTTAACTCAAATGCAGCATGTGTGAGCAATAACTATTTGTATTTTTAAGACTCATATTGCTTAAATAGATTATAAAGCTCATATTTGATGAGTTTACCACATGTCAAGTGCTAGATGTTCTTTAAAAATATTGTTACATTTTATACCCTGGATTGTCTTATGTTTAGAAGAGGAAACTGGGGTTTAGAGAGGTTCATATTGGGCCAAAGAACAGGAATCCTATGAATATCATTCTCCTTCATGAATGTTTCTCACAGGGAAAATGCTTTATATCCAAGGAATTCAGGCAGTGATATAATAATAAAAAAGAAGCCTGAAATCATGTACAGGAAGCTACATGAAGCCTGAGATTAGAATTAGTATTCTATATGACCATTAATATCAAAACAGAAAGTTTAAATATTTACACCTTAAGAAAAGTTTTAAAGAGTCACAATAAATCGAAGGGATATTTTACATAGATAGGTGACCTGGTCAGATTGGTCTCCTCTTGTAGCATTTACTGTTTCAGTAAAGCTATGGTGGGGCCTTCTTCAATCTTCCTGCTTTCTCAGTCAGTTTTACTTGCCTTCAGAGTCCCATGAGCCTCCCCCCCTTCTCTCCTGGGAGGACTCTTTTGATCTGGAGGAACCTGGCACACAACAGAAAAGCTGAGTGTACGGGCCCTCCAGTCAACAGACCATAATGCCATCAGTGCTTTCTAAAGCTTCTCCCGGCAGATTGTACTTGTATGGTGTGTGTGACATCCATGCTCATCTGACTCATGCTGCTCCCGGCTCTATATAATCAGGTACTAATTGAGGATGATTTCATTCCCGGCTTTTGTTTACCCTGCGTTTATCACTGAGTATCGGATCTTCCTCATGCCTTTTCATAGTTAGTTGTATAATGTGCAGTTTTCAAAGTTCAAAAATGGTTTCATATTTAAGTATCTGTATACAGTTGGATGTTCCATTGTTGGAAAGACTCGCTTGTTCAATCGTAGCATCCTTGATGAAAGTGTTTGGGTTGCCTGATGTCCTTTTTGTTGTCTCTTTTCCTTACCACCTATTCTTGAGCCTGTGTTAGGGCACTGGTGGCAGTGGAATGCTCGTGCTTTGACATTTCCCATCTCCAAATTGAGGTGATTCCGACAGATTTAATTGCCAACAAAGATTCTCAGGTCTACCTGAGACTGGTGGCTGCTCTTTGGCCTTTCCCCGCGCTGACTAAGAACCATGCAGCCACAACATCTGCCTCAAATCCACAAATCGCTCTACTCTTGCTCCTTGTGCCTAATGAGTTTTCCACAATTAAATAACTCATTTGAATGTCAGATGGTAGACTACAGGGAGACTAATTAAATGTCCACATAGTTGTACCAGCCCATTCCCGTTCATATTATTTTTGAGAACAGGAACATGGGACAATTCTAGAGAGTTAAAATTTCTGGAATCCTAACTGCTGGGTTGGAATACAATGGAAGTTCATAAAAGAACAGAAATGGTTTAACATTCTGCTCACAGTTATGTTCCCAAATGAAGTATCTCCCAAGAAGCTCAGGTACTGGAAGCTTAGTCCTCAGGTGTTAGCATTATTTTAAAAAAAAACTTCCCGAAGTTTTAGGAGTTTGAGCCTAGTGGAGGAAGTAGACCATGTGGGTGTCCTTGGGAACTATAGCCTCTCCCAGGCCTACCTGTGTGTCTCTGTCATGAACTGAGCAGCCTCTACCGCTTACTTAGTCAACAAGGAGCTGTGCCTCCCCACAAGCCCCAAAGCATTGGTAGCCAAGGACAATGAACCACTGAAACTGTGGGCCCAAAAGAATTCAGCTGGTTAATGCCAGGTATTTTGTCTCAATGACAAAAAGTCTAATACACTTGTTAAACCTGTTACATATTACAGAACATCCTTGGTTTGTACATTTAATTATTGGCTAAAAGTAAAATGTGCTTAGTTCCGTAGGATTAGCTGTAAGTTTGCCAGCTGGTGTGAGGTAAAGCCACAGAGGAAATCTTTAAAAAAAGCATGAGGACACACACACACACACACACACACACACACACACACACACACACACGCCAAAGAGCAGACTTCTGGATTAGAACACGTGTACTAGGACCACAACGCCCCCATCTACTACTTGGATGAGTGCAGCTGGCTCTGCTCCATCTTCCTTAAGGCCTCAAAGGAAGAACTTGTAACCAAACTAGGGCGGGAAAAGACTGGAGCCCAGTAGCTCTGAGCACATCTGAATTCCCTCCTCTGTCTCCGATTGGTTGATATATGGGAAGCAACAGCGACCGGCCTCCCGTGGCTCTACTCGCCATTGGCTGGGAAGAGGTGGCAATCAGGGAGGGCTCAGCCTGATGCTCTAGCTGCAGCTCTGTGCTGGTCTGGGTGCGCTGTCGCCACCGCTGTAGTCGCTGTCTGGGTCTCTTCCGCGGCACCCTTGCGCCAAGGCTGCCTCTCCTGCTCCGAGCGCAGACACCATGGTGAGTGCTGTCAGGACGGTGAGCCGGAATCTCACACCTGGGCTAGGTGGACCTTAACTGACTAGAGAGCAGACTGCGCTGCGGGAGCAAGACCAGGGGGGCACGGAGAGGAAGGCTGCGAGGAACAGCGCCTTTGGTGGGAGGTGGGGGCACATGATCTGCTGAAAGCTCTGACAGTGGGTCACCACCGCGCAACCCCAGTCTCCGACTTCGGGAGATTCTTCTTTCCTCGGGCCGGGTCAGGTGGGAGGCTCCGGGCTCAGGTCCCCTCGCTGTCCCTGTTGCACCATGGTGACAGGTGAGCAGGGGTAAGAAGATGGGGGAGGGGATCGGTGGAGCCGAGAATCCAACGATCCCACGGATCTCCCCCTTTTAGGATAGGGTACCCCGAAAGCGCAGCCAGAGGGCGAGTGACAGGCCAGTGGAGCCGGGTGGGCAACGCGGTAGAAAGGAGGAGGTCCCTGACCGCAGTCTTTCCCTACCCTGCAGTACGGATTCGTGAACCATGCCCTGGAGCTGCTGGTGATCCGAAATTACGGTCCCGAGGTGTGGGAAGACATCAAGTAAGTGAGCAGCCCTGCTCCCAGGGCCGAGCATTGGCGCCGCGCCCGCACCGGCTTCCCTAGCTGCTCCTGGCAGGGTCGTGGTGCGCATCCTCCGGTCTCCGCTCCCACGCTCTGGAGCCGGGACCAGAGGAGAGGAGGGTAGGCCGGGGCGTGGCCCCTTGGGGTCACTGCGGCCTCCTCACCCCGCCTGAGCGTGGGAACACCCTGCCAGAGTCCTGTGGCTCCCAGGTCAGGTTCGGAGGGTTGGTCAGCTCCCATGCAGAGGCCTTGGCAAGGTCCTGGGACCAGAGGCAGGAAATGAACAGAAGACTTGCGCTCCTCTGAGATTTACACACCTGGTACACATAATATGGTTTAATCATTTGGGAATGCTACAGTACACTCCGAAATCATTTCTCCAGTAAGTCATGTGAAGCACGTATTTAATAAAGGGACCTCTGCCCTATAACTTCCCCCAGGTCGTCCTTGGAAATGATGGTTTGCTATGTGTTCTCCTAAGAGTCCTAGCATGATGTTCTAGTTTCTTTAGAGCTTTGAGCCTGGTACTCAGATGGGACCGGAAAATACACTTACTTGAGATTTTAATGCCCTGGTCACCTCTAAAGCTTTTGTGGGTCTCGTGAGGGGTGTTACTGGTGACTGAAGTCAGAGCCTTGTGCGTGACAGGCAAACACGACGCCACTAAGCTTCATGACTGACCTTTAGATGTTTGAGACAGGCTCTCCCTATGCACAGCGTAGGCTGCCCTGGAACTGCCAATCTTCCAGGCCTCTCAGAGTGCTGGCATTAGAGGAATGCGTCACCATGCCCTGTGGAGCATTGCAGTCTAACAGAATTATCTTTCCCTCTCTCCCTTGTTGAAACCCGCATTTAACTCTTGAATAGCTGAGCTGCCAAGTAACTATACTAAAATCACAGGTAGGCATTACCACATTCTAACTGGGACAGTGGTGAGGATTAAGAAGGGCAGAGGGGAACACATGTCTATTATTTTTTTTAATTCATGTACTCACTGATGTCACATGAGCCCTTGCTATTTTTCGTGGCACATTTTTGTTAGCAATCAATTCCAACAGGCTTTATTATTCAGTAATAGGATGATGATTTTCTATAATTATCTGTTTCCATAGAAATGACCACATCTATAATTTAAGCCCTAGAACACAACACCTTCCTCCAGATCTCTTGGGTATGAGCGTTAATTGATGTTCCAGAAGCCATTCATGTTATCCACATTTATGTTATCCACGGGGCACATCTGCATCCTATAAAAAGAGGCCCAGATGAGGCAGTTATAATTCTCTCAAACAAAACTGTAAGAAATAAAGCCACTTTGAAACTGTAATTTTCTTTCAACTTTATTCATTCCTTCATAGTTTTGATTTTCTGTGGAGATACACACCAGGGCAGACACTAAGAACAAGCCCTTACAGCATAGCCCAACATGAGGATGAGTATAAGCCACTTTCTTTGTGAATGAATGGAGGCGGCATACACATCCCCCATATATTAGCCTTTCATCTTTGGAAGTGAAGACCCCAAAGGTCATGGCAGATAATCTATAACAATGGATATGTTTAGGATTCCAAGAGTATAATAATAGACTATGATGAGTTAATAATCACTATGGAAATTTAATCAAACTTAGAATACATATCTGATTGTTATCAATGTAGGTAACTAGTAAATGTAGAGATCAAAATTTTTATTTCATGCTTCACAGAGGAATGTACCAACATGTTTATTTTTTAAATTAAATTATCAAGATATTTGTTTATGGTGATAATGATCTAAACATACATACATTTTATTGATATTTTAACTTCCAAGTGATGACTGAAAATAGTTACATGGTTTTTCAAGTAATTTGTACACACACACACACACACACACACACACAAAGATTGGTTCTCACTGTGTAGCTTTGCATGAGTGGAAATTACCATGTTGTTGAGACATGTTCTCACAAGTCTTCCTGTCTCTGCCTCTCATGTGCCTGAACTACAGACATGTGTACTCACCTTGAAGTATGGTTGAATAATATTCTTAAATTGGTCAAATGATAATGATTCCACTCATCCAAAACAGTTCTGTTATATATGAACCAGGTCATATGGATGGTTTTCCTCTGAAATTTCTACAAGGATGGCGCCCTTGTAATAGAGGAATCGAACCAATGCTGGCCACCCACTTGCTTGTCTTCTCTTTTTAGGAAGATATCCCTTGGTGGTGACGTGGGTGCAGTTTTGTGTATGTGCTGGGGAGTCTGGCTTGACTCTGCACCCAGGGGACTAAAACTGTTCCTTGCTACCCTGCCTGGTTTCCCCAGATGTTGCTGAAGGCTTTCTGGAAGAGCATTTGCCTCATCAGCAGATGTTTACTGAGGGTGAGAGAAATGTAGCTGCCAGACTGTTGCCATGAAGGTGCCCGCTCCCCATTCCTGAGCACTCACTGCCGCCATTGTCCAAGATGCTTTCAGTTTTAACGTTCTGTGGAAAACTGAATATATGAGAGAACTTTTTATCCTTTTGCTCCTACAAGAACCAAACTTTTCTATCTTCTTTGATCTGTGAAAAACTGTCTAAATAAATATTTATAAAATGTTTTTTTAATGTTCTTGTTTAGTTTAGTAGGAAGTGGACATCCATCTTTATGAGAAAAGAAGCCAAATGTTTAATGACAAAATTCTAAGTAACAGATCCTAGACAGAAAATTCTAGATGGCTATGAGCAAAAAAAAAAAAAAAAAAAAACTTGGAAACTCACTGTCCATGCACACTCTTATCATCAGCATCACCATTTCACAAGCACTTTGCCTCCTCTCTTCAGGAAAAAGAAAAATTACCCCAGACCAAAGCCCAGGAAATGTCCCTTAAAACAACAGACAGAAAAGGTTTAGTGTCTATACTCAAAAACAGCTTCAGGTGGTTGTGGATGTATCTGTAACTACTCAAATGGAACCATGTCAACTTCATTGTTATCTTCTGTCCCAGGGAACATCCAGTGTTCTGGATCCAATGTCCTTACCCACTTCTGATCTCCATAGTAACATAAAAGAGTAAGAGACATCCCTTGCTCTCAAATCTGCTTCGGATCTTGCTTTGTAAATTTATTTTGAATTTTCAGATGATCCTCTTTAAGAAGCCATGGTTTCTAAGTGATGAGAAAAATAAATATTCACTTAGAAAATGCAGTCAGACTTTGTGCATATTAAAATATCTTGTAAATGCTTGGTAGGTCTGCCTCTGTTATAATGGCATCAGCCCTGGTTGACCTGACAATTGCTTTGCATCTGTGAGCTCTGAGATTCTTCGCCTACCCTGGAAAATATGTGGATTCTAAAGATGGATTCAAAGGGCTGGAAATGCTAAGATGATTAAAAGTCTATTAAAAACTAGTGACAGATGTAACTGAAGATGTAGCTCAGTAGTAGGATCCAACACACTAGAAAATACAACACCACACACACACACACACACACACACACACACACACACACGCACACACACACAAAACCAAGTCAAACCAAACAAAGCCAAACCAAAACACCTTTCAGAAACCTGTACTTACTTGCCTACAGGTGAATAGGCCAGAGTATTGATTATCTCATATCAGATTTTCTGAGAGATTAGATATAAGCAATTAAATGCAAATGTTGGTATGAAAGCTGTATGTTCTATAATTATGTAATATTATTTTAGTTAACAGATACTGTCGTCAATTTGCTGTCAGTCACCTTCCATGTGCTTTATGGCTTTCCTCAAGTCCCTGCGTACTTCTTTATGCATTGGCTCTTCTTCTCTTTTGTTTATTGTTAAGCTTATCTTTAATGAACATAGTTTAACTTTTCAGACACTGAGGACAGAAAACCAAGTGATGTCATTCTTGCCTTGAAAAAGTCTAGAGATATCAGGGTATTTTTAGTCTTAAACATAAAAAAAAAATCCACTTTCCTGTCTGTCACTCAAATAAGGAAATAGCTTGAATGCTGGATAGCATGTACTAATCTTCCAGTTTGACACTCATATGTGTAGTTGAATTTGCTAATTATGAATGAGTATTAGTGCCCAAATGAGCAAATTTCAAAAAATAAAATAGTTACATGGCTTCTTAACTTTGCAAGTTTCAGTTGTATATGGGAAAATTAATAACTATTTGGTTGTTGCAGTACATTCAACATTATCTGAAAACATCCTTAATATGTTCTTAAGCAGCTGCCGAAGTAATGGTTTGTATTATTTTCCATTTTCCATTGTCGACTGGGTTTTTCATCATCTTTCTTCTGCAGTATCCCCAAAAGATGGGAAACTCCTTTCGAATAACAGTAGCTTAGGTCCAAGGGTGTGGCTGAATGTTAGAGGGCTTGCCCAGCACTTTACACCCAAACAAAATACCAAGAACAATAGCCCATTGCATATTCATGCTATTCCAACCTAAATGTTTCCTCTCACTTTGGTGTAGGTCCTCAGCTCGTTTCTCCTTTTCTTTCTCCTTTATCCTATTTCTACACTGGCTGCTCCAATTTGTTTCGGATTATCTCTTTGTCTTTCTTCTCTCCTCTTGGTCCTTATCAGCTTCCCTCACTCTGCACTCACACACTCACACAACCTCCTTGCCAGGTTTTCTGTGTCTGCCTTGTGCTCACCCTCTGCATTCTGCAGACTGCAGGACGATGATTATTTCAAGATGCCATCTACACTGGTCACTCACCTGTCCCTAATCCCTTTTGCTGTTTCAAAAGTTTATATTTGCTCTTAATACTGATTTTATCATAACAAATTAAAGCAAGCAAACTAGGGCATCACCATAAATCTGCCATGCTTTATGGGATTTTCACATTCCTTATGGAATGAGTTACTTTTCTATAGCTTTCTATACCTAAGTTCAAGTAGGAAAAAGCCTATGTGTTTTTTAAATGTGAATGGCACTTCATATTATAAAGCTGTTTAAATTTCCTAGAGCTGTTTCCTCTATGCATTTTCAGCTAGGTGCTATAGC